CATTCTCCACCAATCTGAAGAGCCATTTCACAATGCGAAGAACCCTTTAATCAAGCAAAGGGTTCTTTGAGTGTTAATGGTTCTATATAGAACATTCTCCTTACTAAAGAAGCATCTCTACGCTAGCAGTCAGGATTGGTTGACACCACAGGGACTGTACCCTTGAAGAACCATTTAAAAGTGTACTATCCCTGTGGTGTCAGTCCTGACTGCTAGCCTAGCCACTAAGCTATAAGCTAATGAATACAACCAAGCTAGCATTCCTTTATTAGTCATGAGTCAAACAAAAGTGTGTGACGATGCTCCGCCGAACCCGTGAGGAGACACAAAGTCACCGGGTAGGTTGTGACTTAATGGGTGGGATGCAGTTGCAGGCTGAAGATGTGACGAGTCTGAATAACTCTTTGCAATCGGTGTGATTTATTTACACAGTGAAAACACTCCAAAGAAAAACTGTACAAACACAAAGTAAATGGAGGTCAAACTGTTGACCTGACTCAGTCAGCACAGGTAAGTATAAGGAGTCTTAGGCGACAAGGCCATAGGACTATACTTCCTAGCTTGGCTCTTACTCCCTTCTCCTCAGTCTCCTCACAATCTGAGGTGAGTGTCCTCAAGCTAGCCTCCTACTAAACCTTTCCCCTGCCTCTTATAGGGTCAGCCCCACCCCTGCATCACCTGAGCTGAACCATTCTACTGTGCAGGGGTGTTGCTGTCCTATAAGAGTGGATTAATACAAGGGTAAATAAAATCATAATTGCATATCACAAGGCCTTAATATGTAACATTACCAGTAGGATATTTCATACAGTGCGCACATTTACCAGCCTGTCTCACTCTGCTTTCTGTGCCCTAGGTAGAGACATCACCCCTCTCATGACCTAGCCGTGGGCCCTCCGGCACGCTCATGAGTGAGCTCCGTCTGATCTGCCTCCCTTTTGCTGCTGGTGTTAGGAAACAGACAACAGGTGAGTATTACAGGTAGGTGTTCAGGTAAACCACACAGACACAGACACACACAGAGTCCTCTGGTGATGCCTCATCACAAAGTGTCAGAAAACAGTGATTCTGTCTTTATTCAGCATTAACCATTCATCCTTTCTGAGAGAAAAGAAGCCAAACTGAGCTAAGATATCTAGACAGCCAGGTAGCTACCATGCTAAGTTTAGCTTTTCATCTGAGGCGTCATTTCTGTCGTTGTAATGATGATTAGAAGACAGTTACCACAGCAGCACCGCTGCAATAAGATGCTGGCTTTTTAGCAGGTAGCCATTAGCCTTACTTCCACTTTCACCAGCTAAAGAAAGAAAAATGAAACATTTTAATCAAAAATCCACCACAAAGCAGTTGTGACTCTTCAAAAGTTCCTCTTACGGTCAAGATACATCATGAGAAGGTAGTTTTTCTAGTTTTTAAACATGAAAAATCACTAAAGACTACTGGGATACCACTGCACACTCATAAAAAAGACGGTTCTTCAAGGGTTCTTTAGTAAAGGGCAAGGCTCTATTTAGAACAGAGTTCCATGTAAAACCATCTCATGCTTAAACGGTTGTTTGCATAGTAAAACGGTTCTACAGACTCATGCAGAATGTGTAGTGTACAGTTCTATAAAGCACCAAAAAGGGTTCTGCTATTGTCACAAGCTTGACAACAACTCTTTTTCGTGCTATATAGAACCCTTCTCAAAAAGGTGCTAGGCAGAACCTTCTGCAGCACATTCTCCATCAATCTGAAGAACTCTTCCACAATGCAAAGAACCCTGTAATCATGCAAGGGGTTCTTTGAGTATTAATGGTTATATACAGAACCTTTTTCTTTACTAAAGAACCCTTGAAGAACCATTTAAAAGTGTACAATCCCTGTGGTGTCAGTCCTGACTGCTAGCCTAGCCACTGAGCTATAGGCTAGTGAATACAACCACGCTAGCATTCCTAGCATTAGTCAAACAAAAGTCAGAAAACAGTGATTCTGTCTTTATTCAGCATTAATCATTCATCCTTTCTGACAGAAAAGAAGCCAAACTGAGCTAAGATATCTAGACAGCCAGGTAGCTACCATGCTAAGTTTAGCTTTTCATTTAGCTCTACCTTTCTGTCGTTTGAGAAATCCTTTCTCTTCACTGTAATGATGATTAGAAGACAGTTACCCCAGTTATACGGCTGCAATAAGATGCTACCTACTTAGCGGTTAGCTATTAGCCTTACTGCTGCTTTCACCAGCTAAAGAAAGAAAAATGTTGTGGCTGTTCAAATGTTCATCCTACGGTTAAAATACATCATCAGAAGGAGGTTTTCTAGTTTTTAAACTTCAAAAATCACTCTGCTGCATCACCACTGCACACTCTTAAAAAAGATGGTTCTTTAAGGGTTCTTTGGTAAAGGGCATGGCTCTATTTAGAACAATGAGTTCCAAATGGAACCATCTCATGCTTAAATAGTTGTTTGCATGCTGAAGTGTTTCTGCACATTGATGGAGAATGTGTTGTATATTGTTCTATATAGCACCAAAAAGGGTTCTGCTGTTGTTACAAACTTGACATTGCTACAACCCTTGTTGGCGCTATAGAGAACCATTTTCAAAAAGGTTCTATATGTAAATACACATTTTACCATCTTGGCTGAGTATAGGCTAACAAATGTAATATAAATGAAAACACAGACTTACTTAGCTCTGCTTTAAGCTCTAGATCAGCTACAGTCGCTTTTCTCACATCTCTAGCGGAACCTTTTACTCAAAAGTAGAACAGTTTCTTGTAAAATGTCTCTGAACTTTTGACTTTTTACAAGGCTGAAGTCAGTTTCCCATTCAACAGCTTCTTGTTTGAATTCTCCCTTTCCACCTTAAATGTTGCCTGAGACGCCAGAATGTAACTGCTGCATCATTTAAGGTGTAACAGGGGAAATTCAAACAAGAAGCTGGAGAACGAGGAGCGACTCCATTTTTGCAACTTTTTAGTGTTTGACAGTTTTTCGTTGCAGATTAAACGTATCAAGAAACCAGCTGGAGTGATTATAAACACGAATAAGTCCATTAGTCTCTAAATAACCCTTAAATCTCTCTCTTTGCTGTTTCATTAGCTACTAGCTAGGTGAGATTCTTGTCTGTGTTGCTATGGTGACCAGAAGTCTGTGCACCAACCCTCAGGGTTAAAAGGTGAATTAGCAGTTCTACATTAACTCCAGAGTTTAAGACCATTTATTGTTAAACTGTGTTGAACGATCAGCAGAGCTTTATTTTACTGTAAAGGAGGATTATTTTATTTTTACCTACTAATCTGATTCTGCTGTGGAGCCGCAACAGGGCAGTATAAGAGATGCATGTTGCCGACCCCTGACTTAACGGTTTCTGTTTTTTTTCAGCAGAGTATAAAACTAAATAGAACCATTTTCTTTACTAAAAAACCCTTTAAGAATTTTTTTAAGATCGTCGGAAGTGTAAAACAAAAGTTCAGAACAATTTCCAAGAGAATAAAGGGTTAAACGTCAGGCCTGATCAGCAGGCCTACTGTTTTTCTGCTCAAACATCATATTTCAATCTTTTAAGAGAGCGATAAGCACTTTAATGGCTGTCCAAGTGCAAACACAGTCACGTTCTCCAGCGTTCATAAACTTCATAACACTTAAAGACCTTGTGGGTTAGCAAATGTTTCACAGCAAATGTTTTCACACCTATTTTTTCATCTTGACACAGTTTAAAATTATGCACTATTACCACCCGCGCAGCCTGTGCTTTATTCCTATTTTGCCGGCTGTCAGTTTCACTTAAGTAGCAAAAGCCTGGGGTGAAATAAACAGTAACTGCTTTCATAGCAGAACTGCAGTTTCACTTCTGAACGTTCCAAACAGAAACCACGCAAATGCAACAGTCATCCAGACTGGAATCTGAGGCAGAGCGAGCAGTACAGTATGATTTATGTACAGCAGGAACACATACAACACGTTAATGTTATGCAAATGTATTTATGCCATACAAATACGCTGAATGAGCAACACCAAAGGCCTTCACGTCCCGTTGTTATGCCTTCACTCAAACTCTTATTCAAAACTAACCTCTGTTATAATCCTCTTATGGACACCCACCAAGCTCTTCCTTTCAGCGTCTGTGGATAAGCGCACTCTCAGGTCATTGGGGGGAATAACGTCTCAAAACAGTTTGTAGCATTGTTAATAGTACTGTTATCTCCACTTCCGATGCACTTGTTTCAGAGGTGTCTTTATTAGAGGACAGTATCTTAAGTCATAAAAGCTCCTACATCCTTGAGTTTAAAAAAAAATCATGCAGCTAGCTACTGAGGCAGCCTGAATTAAAGGAGAATTCCACCGAAGTTTCCACATAATAAAATCATTGCAAGTGGTTTTATGTGAAATTGTGCATTGCAGAGAAACTTAACGAGTTAATTTTTTTTACAGTGGTGGTGATAGGAACCAGAATTCACCATGTCCGCAAATATAGCCATTTCATTTACAAACCAAAACAGACCAGTGAACCTGAGTTTTTATATGTAATGTTGATAGCAGTAAAATAGTGGCAAATCTGAAAAATAATTTTTTTGGAGGCTATTTTGCCTAATAACGCCCTGCATGTATCCCTCCGCCATTAAAATTTATCGCAGAACTATCATAAACCAACACTTCAGACATTAAGCTGCATATTCATAACACATTCACTTCTTTCATAACTTTTTCAACTCTTATTTACAGGATGCAGGGTACTGTTATAAATACATTTACATTTTCAAAAACTTGCCTTCTTAATATATATACTGTTTTGTCTTTTTGGCCCTCAGTCCACCAATCTAGCCCCCAGGACAAATTTTGGCACCCATTTTGGAGGCATTAAACGCTTTGGACATCTGATTCCTAAAACCACTTGTCAAAATTCTGACTGTCTAAGTTTCTCTAGAATGACCATTTCACACCAAACCATTCTGACCAGCTTTGTTTACATCTTAAATGAATGATTTAAAAAAAAATGGTTGGAATTCCCCCTGAACCATCTCACATTTGAGTGTTGTCCATTGAATCTTCAATGCTAATTGAAGTAACGTCAAACCCAGGGTTATCGATGCCTTGCTGACCATGCTGGTGAAGTATAAGATTGCTGTTCAGTTGATTCAGATAGCAGCAGGCACAATGTGGAGTAACCACCGGTACGGTCTTGGAGAAGTTGGAGAAGTCGACCCGGAACTTGCCCCCTTTGGTGCGAGAGATGATGGGCAGGAAGCTGTAGCCCCACTGAATCTCGCTTGGGATGAAAGATGTGCGCACCTGGCAGGATGAGCTGGTGGACTCAGCGACCCCTTCCAGGAAGACCACCAGCTCGAACTCCTGCTGCTGGATGGTGTCCGCCGCCATCTCTGCAAAGGGGCTGGAACTGTCGATCACGTGGTACAGCGTCAAAGGGCAGACGAAGAAGAGGTTGTCCTTGCCTGCATCCACCAGGAAGTCAATGTTCACCTGGTCTAGGATGATGGGTTCTCCTTCTGGCGAGATGGTGGTCCTCAACAGCTTCCCGTAAATCTGGCTGCCGATAAGCAGGGTCTTGCGTAGGTTCGCCACCCGAATCTGCAGGCAGAGGCTTCCTTTCTTTAAACAGATGACCGCCGTGTCGCTGAAGGTGACCGTCTTGGCTCGCTTTTTGGGTAGAGATATTTTGGCCAAAATGAGGCCACACATGAAGCAGTTTATGATGGCACCCATGAGTGACTGGATGACAAGAAGGGCCACTGTGCCAGCGCAGTGGCCAGTCAGAGCTCGCCCACCGTATCCAATGGTTGTCTGGGTCTCTAAAGAATAAAGGAAGGCAGTTGTGAGACCATTTATGTTGTCTATGCACTTTGTATGGCCATCAGCAGAACGCTCCCCCTCCACTGCCTCCAAGTCCCCATTGCTCTTTGCAATCGAGTACCACAGCAGGCCGAAGACGAACCAGCTTCCAGTGAAAGCAGCGACAAAGGAGAATATAACAAAGCGCCATCGGATCTCGACAAAGGTGGTCCAAAAGTCCATCAGGTAAGCAAAATGGCTGTGATACTTCACGTTGCCAAATTCAATGTTACAGTGGCCATCCTTGGTCACGAGCCGCGTCCGGCGAATCCTGCGTTCCACTATGTGACCATGAATCTGCTTCTGGATGAACTGCAACATTCCTTTATGGTGAAAGCACAGAAGAAAACCGTTTACAGTTTCAACATGAATGGAAAAGGAGGTCATACTCTATAAGCTCTGCATGTGATAAGCAAGTAAACACAGCCTGTACAATGTGGTATTTTGCCCTACATTCTTTTGATAAACCTGCCTTTGCAGTTTTGTTCTGCACTGAGGGGAAACGAGTATTCAGACACTTTTGTTTTTGTTGTTTAATAAACTTCCTGTGTGTATATATCCGCTTCAAATTTACATACATGATGTATTTTGACTTTGTACTAATAAATACAAAGCAGAAAGTGTGTGTGTGTGTATATATATACACACACACACACACACACATAGATACATACATACATGTAAAGGTTACATACACACAAATCAAGGTATAGATATTAATGCAACAAAACAATTGACATTATAAAAGATGCCATTGGTTTAATACTATGGGAGCATATCAGCAGCAAAATTAAAATGAAAATGTGATATATAAATTGCATATGGGTCATTCTACAGAAACGTCCATTTTTGTGTCCCTAGTGTTTACAGATATATTACACTAAAAAAAAAAACCGTTAGGGTTACATTTTTTTTACATTTTCAAATAAAACAATAAGTTATTTTAACAATTACACCTTCTTGAGCCTCAATTTAGCAATATTCTTTTTTAAATCTATTATATAGAATTCCAAACACCACAGAAGAGCTCATCCTCACAGTCATGTGTGAAGGCTGAGGCCATATTTTGAGGTTAAAAAACTCATTTTTCTGCAATTTTAACTGCAATAATCTATACATGACTGTGGAATATATGAATTAAATGACATAAAGAAAACAAATGACAAATAAATATTATAAAATATATAATGAAAGTTCCCCAGGAGTCGTGTCACTGGTGTTACTGCGTAACAAAAAATCTCTTATTCTGAAATAAAATCACACTGATGACGTTACTTGACTTCCTTTTACCTGTTTTCTGAGGATCTATGAAGAAAAGCACATGGTGAGCCCACTGTGTCTTTCAGTTATCAGAGATTTTCTCATTTAGCTCATGATTTCATATGTAGCTTTTAGCTGAAGTCACTGGTGTGACCAACTTTATTCTGAGGTAATTGTGAAAAAATAGAATACAAATGGATTAAATTACATATTTTAGTGGATGTTCCATGATTGACAACATGTGGTTTGATGCTCTGTAGCAGCCATTTTGTAAAATGCATTTTTCATTAAAATGTCTCTGGTGTTTCCTTTCTTATGTGTAACACCAACGACCATCAGTAACACCACTGACTCCTATGGAGAGATAGAAAAGTAGACATTTCCGTAGAATGACCCATATATGCAATGTTGGGCTCAAAATAAAAATTCAAATTTAAAACTGCAATTTTAATTTGCCATTTGGGATACTAGTATTGACATTTCATCTACACAGAGATTTAGATGCTTTATAAGTAGCATTATTTAAATTGAAATGTATTTCCAGAACTGCATATTTATACTTGTGATTATGCAATAATGGTGTCAAAATGTAATCTGCCTTAGATGCATTCACTCCCTCTAATCAGGCATTTGAAACTGCATTATCAAAGAGAACACCAAGCTAGAAAGAGAGCAAAATTCTAATGCAAGATGGGAAACAGCGCCTCTCCTGTTTGTAATTACATACTCTCGCCTACTGCACTCATTCTGAGGCAAAACAATTATGAAAATGCATTTGACCAGATTGCATTTTAATTTTCATAGACTTTCCAACCTGTCAATCATCCCATTTCGACGGGGCCAACAGCGCGCCCTGTAGAAAAGGCTTTATCAGAAACATGGTGGCTGAAGAGTTTATACCTACTCTTACATCAAGAGATGGAGTGAAGCAGAGCATTACATTCACTTCTGATGCTTACTGTCTTTATTCATGGCCCGATGAGAAAGCGTTTAATCAAACATGCGGCCAGGTTTTCTGATTTATCAGTCTGGGAGTTTTTCACAAGGCACTCTCAGACTAATGCTAAGGAAGGTAAGAGAGAAGCCAGCGGTCATTGGAAACAGAGAACGACACAGAACAATAAGCAACTGAACTGCGTCCATCTTCGTTCCTACACTCTATGTAGAACTCCTCTGCTAGAGATGCATGTCTAAACTTTGCACCCAAGCATTTAGACAAATCAGAACTCTTTTTGAATAATATACTGTGGTCAGACGAAAGAAAAATGGAGCGTATAATAATAATTAAGCTCATCATGTTTGGAGAAAGAAGGGTCGTGAGTATGATCCCATAAACACCCACAGTGAAGCATGATGGTGGGAGCATCATGATATGGGACTGCTTCTCTGCAAACGGTACTGGGGCATTAAAGGAAACATGACTGGAGTGATGTACTGGGAGATACTGGAGGATTTGATGGATGTTTCAACAAAAAAAAACAAGCTCAAACATACAGCCAAAATATTCAAGACTGGGTTCTAAAGAAGAAGGTGCTTGCATGGCCTAGCTAATCTTTTTGGAGGATTTATGGAGGATTTTGAGATCTAGCAGAGGCACCCTCACTACCTTAGAGAACTAAAGATGGTGTGCAAAGCTAATTAATTCTTACTACAGGCATCTCACAGCTGTAATTGCCAACAACAGCTTTACAATAAAGTACTAATATAAATTTTTGGTGTCTGAATACTTTTTCCATATAAATTTAATTTTTTTTTTTAAATATATATCTGTTCTTATGTATAAATACACATTTCTTTGTTCATATTTATGAGCAAAAGGTCAAAAGACATTAGATATATGCACTACAGGTATATTAAATAATGTAAAAGGTTATCTTGTGCTTGTTTCCCCTCACTGCATACTGTAAAGCCATAAAATGTAAAGAATGACTTCCCACTGCTGAGAAATGTAAACTTTACTGGTTAAAGTTTGTAAAACCAGATACAACAAAAGACATTTCACTCAATTAACATCTAGTGACCACATCTTAACATCTACCAAACATGATGAGCTTGATTCGTGAGCTAAAACTTGCCTATGGATGGAAATGACAACTTACCCCCACTCACACAGAGGTTAGCAGCAGCGCTACTGAAACGAGAAGCCACTGTCAACTTTCAATGCATGAAATCGACTTCACAGACGTGTCGACTGAGCGCGCTAGCCAAGCAGCAGGCAGGATTAGCGTTCAGACCTTCCAGTTCTCCTCCAAGCAAACTGCCATTGGGGTGCAGCTAAAAACGTAATCCTCAGTGAAATGTTCTAATCCCAGGCACATGCCACAGTTTACACGCCGTAAAGAAAGAGACAAGTCAAAGTGCTCCCAAAACTGATTATTGGTCCACATCTACGCTACCTTAAGCTCATCTGCAGATTCTAGACCAAACCAAACCAAACCACAATCCACATCGGGTGCAGCATCATGACAGAGAGCGAAACTCTATAGGTCGCCTGCACTGGTCAACAAAAGTTCTAGCAACAGGAGCATTAGGGTCTCCAGGGCTGCTCCATTGGCCCTCCAGAGCACAATGCCATTGGGCAAGAAGGTCCCCCAGCTGATGGGAACAGCCTCAGTGAAGGAGCTTCCCACTGGCTGGGCTTTACCCAAATGAACACTAAAGCTTTGCGTGGTGCCAGACAAAGAAATCCCTCAATCACTTTTCCCTTTATTTCCTGGGCCCAACTGCTCCCCTCCCCCATATCTCAGCTCCTGCTGTACTTGCTCCAAGCCAGTCCAGGGCAAAAAAGCAAACTGATAAAACTTATTTCCATTAATAAAGACTGTGCTAGATAACAGTAGCCACTATGACTATTGTGTTTTTAACCTTGTGTGAGTATGAGTATTTACATGAAGGGTGTAACTCCTCAAACTCCACATGTGCTCCCATTCTTCACCCTCAGCCGGAGCATGGACTGGACTCGGCCCATTTATTGGACCTTGGACATTGGAAGCTACTTAAAGCAGGAGTGCTGATCTAGAATCAGATTCCTCTCTTATTTACTGCAACTTTACTGACTAGAACAGATTCTAGACCAGCATTCTTCATCTGAGAAGCTTCATAAATTATGGGCCATTGTTTGTATACAGAAACCACTCTTCGCTTATCTTAAGTCCAGTCCAAAACGCACAAAAAGTCCACTCTTTAGCTTTATTACAGATTTCACTCTTTTCAGGAGACTCGCTTGCAGTTTTTCAAAGAAATATGCAGAGAGAGTTCAGTGTTAGAAGTTGGTTGTGCAGTTTCTGCTGCTCATACACATTCAGTGGTGTTGAGGTCTGGACTCTAGGGTGGTCAGTCCATCGTTCAGCTTCTTTGTTTGATGTGTCCGTCTCCTTTTCTCAGTGAGGTTCTTCTTGAACAGCTACACATCCTTTCAGACCCACAGCGCTGAGTCGTCTTCTCACAGTGGAAGGATGGACAGAAACACCTGTGGATGTTTTCAGATCTGAAGCAAGAGTGGTCAATTATTATTCAACCCCTCAAACCACCAGAATTCTGTTTGGTTCCTTCAAGTATTAAGAAGTAATTGAGGTATTAAGAACAATGAGCTTCACATGCTTGGATTAATTATCTGTTTTTTCCCGCCTTTTCTGACTATTAAAGCCCCTCCCCAATCAAGTGAACAGCATTCCAAGGCCATCAGAGACAAAATCGTGGAGGGTCACAAGGCTGGCAAGGGGTACAAAACCCTTTCGAAGGAGTTGGGCCTACCTGTCTCCACTGTTGGGATCATCATCCGGAAGTGGAAGGCTTATGGAACTACTGTTAACCTTCCACAGCCTGGACAGCCTTTCAAAGTTTCCTCCCGTGCCGAGGCCAGGCTTGTCCGAACGGTCAAGGTTGACCCAAGGACAACAAGGAGGGAGCTCTGGGAAGATCTCATGGCGGTGGGGACATTGGTTTCAATAAATACCATAAGTAATGTACTCCACCGCAATGGTCTCCGTTCCAGGCGAGCCCGTAAGGTACCTTTACTTTCAAAGCGTCATGACGAGGCCCGTCTAAAGTTTGCTCATGATCACTTGGAGGACTCTGAGGCAGACTGATTCAAGGTTCTCTGGTCTGATGAGACCAAGATCGAGGTCTTCGGTGCCAACCTCACCCAGGGCGTTTGGCAAAGGGGATGGGACTGCATACGACACCAAGAATACCATCCCTACAGTCAAGCATGGTGGTGGCAGCATCATGCTGTGGGGCTGCTTCTCAGCCAAGGGGCCTGGCCATCTGGTCCACATCCACGGGAAGATGGATAGCACAGCCTACCTGGAGATTTTGGCCAAAAACCTCCGCTCCTACATCAAGGATCTTAAGATGGGTCGTCATTTCTTCCAACAGGACCCCAAGCACACGGCCAAGAAAACCAAGGCCTGGTTTCAGAGGGAAAAGATCAAGGTGTTGGAGTGGCCTAGTCAGTCTCCTGACCTTAACCCAATTGAAAACTTGTGGAAGGAGCTCAAGTCCACAAGAGATGCCCAAAGAACCTAGACAACTTGGAGACGATCTGCATGGAGGAGTGGGCCAAGATTACTCTAGAGACCTGTGCCGGCCTGATCAGGTCTTATAAAAAACGATTAATAGCTGTAATTGCAAACAAGGGTTATTCCACAAATTATTAAACCTAGGGGTTGAATAATAATTGATCCTAATTTTTATGTTTAAAATGTATTATAATTTAATTGAGCAACACATATTTTTTGTTTGTAATATTTAGGCATCTGTTTGAAGAGTTTGAAGGCTCTAACTTATTTGCAACTTGTTGAATTTGCAAAATCTGCAGGGGGTTGAATACTACTCAGAGGCACTGTATATACATTCACACACACCGTGTGAAATACTGCCTGGTATTCAGGGGGACACCATCACTGGCTGTGTGTGTATGTATATATATATATATATATATATGTATATATGTATATATGTATATATATATGTATATATGTATATATATATGTATGTATATATATGTATATGTATATATATGTATATGTATATATGTATATGTATATATATATATGTATATATATGTATATATATGTATGTATATATATATATATATATATATATATATATATATATATATACACACACACACACACACACACACACACACTGTGTAGCAGAGTCCCCCTGAATACCAGGCAGTATTTCACACATGCCTATGATGGAATTGCTAAACTTTGCTCTTTAAACTGGCTCATAAGTTATCAGCTACATTTTGGCGTCAAGTGTAGAGGCATGACAGATTTTTAAAATCTGTATCTTATGTAATTATTATGCCTTAATGATTTAACATTGTGATTAGGCATCATCGACTCCTTGCCTAGTCTTTAGTGACCACTTGACTGTTTTGTTACCTACAAATCTATTTTGCAGGTTTTACATTCTCTGCTGTGAGATGGTCACTGAAATATAATTTTTGGTTGTAAAACAGCGCTGGTGGCACAATCACAATATCTAATATGAACAGCATTCAACTTTACAACACAGTCAGAAGTGTCAAGTGCTGACATTGTCAGCAATTCTGAGTGTCTAAATTGAATCATTTCCTTTCGGTGTATAAAGAATTGTAAAGGAGCGCAGAAAGTGTGTCAGTAAAGTGGTGCAGTGGCCACTTCCTTTTCATTTTTTAACTATTACAGTTGAAACTTCCTTTCGCCCCACTTATACCGAGACACTCCCTCTCTTTATATCTCTCACACTGCCTAATAACACTGCACATTCAAACAATGGGCTTCAGTCAGTTCAGGCGTTTCAGATTTTCTGAATAAAGATGCTGAATTACACGTTTTATTGTACTTTGTACTGTGTATTAACTCAAATTAGATAGATAGATAGATAGATAGATAGATAGATAGATGTGTATATAGATAGATAGATGTGTAGATAGATAGATAGATAGATGTGTATATAGATAGATAGATAGATAGATAGATAGATTGATGTGTAGATAGATAGATAGATAGATAGATGTGTATATAGATAGATAGATAGATAGATTGATTGATGTGTAGATAGATAGATGTGTATATAGTGCGATAGATGTGTGTATAAACAGATAGATAGATAGATAGATAGATAGATAGATAGTTGTGTAGAGAGATAGATAGATAGATAGATAGATAGATAGACAGACAGACCGACAGACAGATGTGTAGACAGATAGATAGACAGATAGATAGATAGATAGATAGATAGATAGATAGATAGATAGATAGATAGATAGCTGGTGTAAAATGTGTGAGAATGTGATGAGGTGAAAATCTTTGTTACATATTTTCAGACTGATATGCTTGTTTGTGTTATTTAGAGCTGTATGAATATTAACTGGATTGCATTACGGCTTAACTGTGGTTTTAACGAGTAGCAAAACAGCTTTAAGGACAGTAATTCTGCTAGAGCTCCATGTGTAACAATAAACACTAATCCTTAATGAATGCTGCTCAGTCCTTCAGAGTTACACAATCTGAAGTACCGCTCAGTATATCTGGACATGAAAGCTGCTTTTGTAGTTGAAGCTGAATAAAACAAAGTGCAGAGCGTAAACAGAGAGAGAAGACACTCACGGCTAAAGGGCTTTCTGTCCTCCAGGAAACCAGCACGACCCGATTGACCCGGACGCTGCTAACAGACAGATCACAAACTATAGAAACATAGATAAATAACTCTTCAGGGCAAAAACAGAGCTGCTCCTATATGATGAAACTAGAGGCTCAAACTAGCAGATTTTTGATGGAATACAAAAGCAAACAACGTAATATTGAAGCAATACAAACAAGAGTGGGAGTGCGTTATCGCCAGTGAATGTTTTTAATGTTCACACAAGACGTTTGTGAAGAAACATGTAAATCAAATAAAATGAACCGTGAACATTTCAACTGTTTTAACCCATTCGTGTCCAAATCAAACTCATTCTGGTAGTGAACACTTCCACTGATTGGTCTAAAGTGACTATATATGTTATGTGTAATATATATGTTCTGTTTTGATTCATTTTAATACCTTTATTCACAGTCAAAGCAAGATTTTGTTAAAAATTTGAAGTCCGATGTGACCAAAATCTTATTTCAATGAAAAATTAAGTGATAAAATTCACTTTTCTTGAAAAACATCCTCAGATTTGTGCTTAGAGAACATGGGGTCCAATTTCAGATACACTACATATTGACAGTTACTATTATTTCATATACAGTAATAACTCATAACAACAATGTAGGTTTAAATATTACACCATTCACCAAAAGGTGTTTTAGATGTGCTTTTCAAAATTTCATATTTCTTTACATTAATTTTAAAGTTTACCTTTTAAGTGTATTTAATATGAAAGTACATTATACTTTAAACATACTTTAATACACTACATGTATTATTTTGGCACAATTTACGACAACTTAAGTGTATTTACATTGCTATTAAGCTATGAGTACATATATATTATATGCAGTGAATTTTTTTAAACAACTTAAGTTATATTGAAGTTGTAAATTTGCATTTGCAAGTTATAGACAACTTATTACACTTGGAATACATTATAAACAGTGCTGGATGTACTGATGCACTTCCACTGCAAAAAAATGCACTTTTAAAGGTAAAAGTGTATTTTAAATTACATTTCAGTATCACTAAATACACTTAAATACATTCAACAACTAAAACAAATGTAAGTGTAATTTGAATGAAATATAATTTGTGTATAAATCAAATTACACACACACACACACACATATATAAAAGTAAAAGTTAACTTGTCAAGACACAAATTCTACTGTACATAAAATAGATTTTAAATGTTCTCTCTCCCCAGTAGTTTGAGTTAGTTACCATAACTAAAATACAACCATTGTATTTTGTTAGTTATTAATGTACTAAAGCATCCTTTAAAGTCATTGCTTTAAAATATACTTCTAATGCACTTGTGTATGTTGAGAAACTTAAGTGTATTTTATTACAGCATACTTAAGTAGAGTTTAAAATGTTTTCCTTTAGAAATGTTTTAAAAATTACAGAGAATTATATTCTACTATTATGCTATATTATTATGTATTATATATATTATGGAAAACATTGATTCCAAAGGTCTGAGCAGTGAACGGTGGTGTACAAGTTATTAATATTTCTTTCGCCAAAAAAACAAGCAGTTCCACCAGAAACTAGTTAACTAGCGGAATCGTACTGACCTGTATTATCAGTTACATGTAGATCGTTTTGCAACCAATCAGGCAGCGTGTTTGAAACTAACTGCTGTCTAAATCACTGAACTGTTCTCCTTCCTTCTAGAAAGCTGGACTGGATTGATCTCCTCAGTGCCAGTAACAAGCTTGCGGGACTGTCAGCTTTGACTAAATCTCCTCAAAAGACCCCTCGACTCTCAGAACGAGGCCAAGAGGCCCCGCAGCCTCGGCTTTGCCTGGAAATGAATTTTCACACCGCCCGGCGAGGAGCTCTGCACGCCGAAAATTATAAACCTCTGAATTCCACTCCGAGCTGTACACGGCAGAGACCTCTTTCCAAGGATCTATAATGAGCAGACTGTACAGATTCACTCAGCCTCCACACACAGACAAAAACTAAATAATACATGTAAATGAATTGAGATGCAGCGTTATCAATTATTCATTCATGTACAGTTAAAAAAAAGACACTGTTCTTCCGTCACTCTAATATGGGTTTGAGGAGCCAGGACATAAAAGTACATCATGAAGAGCCTCGGAGAACCACAGCATTAATAAATCAATGTTTTATTAAAAAAAAAAGGTAATGATCACAGGTCACACACTGAACGATATTAAACAACTCAGAGTAAAAAAACTAAAACAAACCACAAAAAAAAATAAGGACATTACAAGAATTTACAAAAGTGAGGGAAAAAAAATGTTTGCTAACGTTGAACTAAAACACATTAAACCAAATGCGATGTATTTATATAACCATACGTAAAAGTTTCAACATCCCTGGTCAAATGACACTGTTGATCTTCTTTATAAAAGGGTTAACACATCCTCTACAGAGAACACAGTTAAATATGGCATTTTTCTGATCATTTTAGTGCACAATTTCCATTTATTTGCTGAGTTTAATATCAAAATGTGCTAAAACATTCTGCCTCATTTTATGTTTCCGTTTTCTCAATATGTTAAATCCAGCAAATAAACAGTGCGCATTAAACCATGCAAAAGTGTTTACTGTAAAACAAAAACATGCTCTTCGGCCAGGGGTGCCTAAACTTTCGCATATGTCTGTGTGTGTGCTTACAGTACTGTTTATTATACAGCTATTAAGTACAAGTTCTTCAAAAAGTACACAAAGGCTACGTTCACATTACAAGCCTCATGGCTTAAATCCGATTTTTCCTCAAATCCGATCTCTGACACAATGGTTCACACTCGTTTAGGTTATGATTCAAATCTGTCATTAATGTGACGAACCGGCGCCCTGAAATGACCCTCATGCGCACATCCTACTCAGTAACGTCACGTGAATGAATCATGTTCATCATCAACACAAACTAACGAGCAGAACGAGCTTCGCTGAGGAGATAATTAACTCTGATCAGCTCTCAGCTTCATTATTAGAGCGAGACGAAGGAGAAAAAGGTGAGATGAGTTGTTTCTCCATCTGAGCGTCATACGTATCCGATCTAGGACCACATATGAAAGTGGCTCAGGTTGGATTTGAAAAGATCAGATTTGTGTCCACACAGCCCTGAAAACATCAGATCTGAGTCACATTAGGGCAAAAAATCGGATTTGTGCCACTTCAACCTGGTAATGTGAACGAAGCCAAAGTCTCCAACACTGAGTGTAATGTTACACTTAGAAGTGTTTAATCTCTTCGTGGCCTCTGCTGCCACTTTAACTCCTCCATCCTTCCAAAAGTAAAATATTTTACAGACTGATAAATCAAAATTAGGAATATTTGGATTGTGAAAAGCAGAAAATGCAACCAACTTATACGACTGAACTTTGGAAGTGTGAAAATATCTCTGAAAAACTGAAAGAATGGAAGCTGTAATAAATGGAAAGAGTGGACAAACAAAGTGATATATTTAGTTGTTATGGCTTCGATGTAATTTTCTATTAATTACTTCACAGGCTTTTATTTTGACACTGCAAATTTATTAACTATACAATAAATTGTACTTAATGGCTGTTCTGACTGGAAATGAAATAAATGAAAGGGTGACCCGTGAGAGGTTCATGAACTGCATAAACTGTCAGAAACAGTAATAAAATTCTATAAAACGGAAAAATAATTTTTGTTTTTGAGATCAAGATTCAATGTGATTAACATATATTCTACTGAGTTCTAATTATGTCCTGATCAGAATTGGTTTGGCTTAGAATATTACAGTTATTTCAAAATAAAAGACAGCAAATTAGCTTGTCCTCTTGCAAAATAGGAATTGCAGCTGAGCTATGAACAATACTAACACAGACAGGACGCACCCAGATGCCTAGTTTGACTGTGGTTTCTTTGAAAGACATTGACCCAGAGGGAGGATACAGTTTTATGTGTCCAAACACTGTACCGACTGTTAGCTTCTTCAACTTTGCAATACTGTACTGACATCAGTCCACCCTTACCAGCTGGGCAGGCGTGTACAGAGTCCAGCGCTCTCTAGAGTTTGCCTGCCTCTTTGAACTTTAGCAGCAGCGCGTCGTCGGCCCGCAGGGGGAAGGTGATGGTGCGGCTGCGGTAGTAATGAGAGTCAGCCTGCAGGTTCTGGATGACGTCGGACAGCAGGTGGGCTCTCTCCACCCCACAGCCGGGAGCTTCGTAGTCCAGCGAGGTGAAGTGGACGTGGAGGTGGTAATAGGACGGCTGGTAGTGCAAATACACTCGCAGTTTAGATGGAGGGATGCTGTAGCGCTTCTGAATGGCCTCCTGTGGAGACAGAGCAGCAGATGTGCATTTCAAACTCAGTTTTTCTAGACTGAGCAACAGCTTTCGTGTCCCTTGATACACAGAATGAGCTCACTGAGGCAGAATCACAAAAAGTTCTTCCAGGACTCTTCAAAAGTCAACAGAGGGTAAAGGAAAAGTTTAAAGGGGGATGAAATTCAGAATTGCTCACACTGGTGGTGATAGGAACGAGACATCTGAAGCGATTAATGCCTCTAAAACAGTGTCTGTGTTTACATGCAAAGGTTTTTTGCCAATCCGACTGAATACATTCAGATTACAGATTAAGACTGAGGTGTTTACGCTCACTCTACTCACCAATCTGATGGAAAATCTCTGTTTACATGCTCACTACAAGTGATCCGATCCAAAATGATGCGCATGTGTGGAGTACCACTTAGTGAACATCACGTGAGTCCAGTCAGAGTGAGATGAGCAGCAGTGAGCAGCGCTTGTGTTTTTAACTGCTTTAAAATGATGTCAGACTCAGGAAAACGTCCTTCACATGTCCTTATTAAAGAAGGCCGAGAGGAAGACGTCGTGTTCTGAGACACATAAGCTGGACGTCCGTCCCACCGCCGTCTTTTAAAGATCAGAGCATAAACTTCGTCTCCTCTGCAGACCAGTTTCTGCTCCGCCATGTTGAACGTTATAAACTTTCACTATGATGTGAGGAACATGATCAGAATGGACTTAAACTTTCTGATAGGGAATGTAATCAGATACAGGCGTTTACACGGATATTATTCTTCTATTTAATTGATTATTTACAGGATTACCCACCTCGATCAGTTGGGTAGAAATTGTATTCAGAATGGCCTCAATCGGACTAGACTATTCTGACTGAGGTGTTCACATGGATGCATTCTATTCTGATTAAGTGGTCTCCAACTCTCCTCCTGGAGATCTACTTTCCTGCAGAGTTCAGTTACTACCTGCATCTAACAGGTCCCTATCCTTTACCTAACCTTAAAGGGGAACTCTACCTATTTTCTTCTTTTAAATGTCTGCATAATTAGGTGACAGATATAAACAGTCATTCGGAGTGGTTTGACGTGAAATGCTTCATCTATAGAGAAACTTACAGACTCTGATTTCTTTACAGTGGTGGTGATAGGAACCAGGGGTCGCCATGACTGCAACACAAATATAGTCATTTTATTCACTACCCAAAACCACCAGTGAACCAGTTTAATTAGCTGGAGCAGGTGTGGCCATCTGTGGTTGTAACTAGACTCCGTAGGAAGGTAGATATTCAGGACAAGGGTTGGAGATCACTGCTCTAAAAGCTTCATCATAGAAAATTATTCCATGTAATGGTTATGAATAAGCTGTCCAAGACATTACTTTCCGATGCTTTTGAGACAGAATCGAGACGTTGTCAGCTTTTTAAAACACATTAATAGCTAAGGGGTACATGTAGGGTGCTGTGAGGCAAAAGAATAAATCTAATGTTTTTTTTTTTTTATATTTGCCACTATTTACCATTACGAACACTGCATATAAAAACTCTCGTGTAGATGTAGGAGTTGATAAGTTTCTCTACAATGAACCATTTCATCAAACCACTCTAAACGACTCTGTTTACATCTCAACCAACGACATTTTCAAAAATCAGTGGAGTTCCCCTTTAAATTTGGCACACTCTTGCTAAACCTTCAAGTACATACTGCCATCTACTGGTCAAAGAAGGCATGAACACCACATGAACATGCAAACAGGGCTATTAAAAATTGTTATGAACACAAATAAATAAAATAAATAAATAACTGAAAAGTTCCACATTCAGATCACACACTCAGTTAGCGCTAACTCTTATCAAATTATTACTTCACAACCTCTTCTACGATCAGAGGTGGTTGGACACAGCTCTTTGTGCTTACCAGCCCCTTTTTCTGGATGTTTTTCAGTAATGGGAGGTCGTCTGATGTGAGATCCCTCAAGCTCTTTATGTCCCGTCGATGCGCGATGGCTATCAAATACAAGTCATCAAGCTGGAAGCAAGAGTTATTCATAATTATTAACTGCTGGATCAAATTATTGTGCCACATTTTTTAAACAAGATTACTTTTTAATTTAGTTAGGCTTAAATTACATTTCTCAATGCATTACATTTCTCACAATTAGTCTAAATTTATTACTATACTGTGTTTTTCATGGATGTTAACCCTAATAGTATAAGAAGTGCTCCACAAATTATGTTGTTCAAAATAATTTCATTGTAATAAAACTGTATTACATCCATTAAAACTGTACATTTATTAGCCCTGCAGGTGTTTGCCATGCATAAATGCTAAAATGTAAGAGGTTTTTCACTGCTAATTAAAGAAAGGATCACCAAATCTAATAAATTAACAAAATGAATTAATCAACAGAAAGATTTATTCCAAATTTCAAAGAGGTCGAGGTGGTCATTTTCATGCTACAACACTTTTGAGAAGATTAAAAAAAGTTTACCCACCTGCTTCTGGTCCCATTTGAAATCTGGCAGCAGGACAAACCCCACGTTCGGGTCTGGATCTTCAAAAACGATCCTATCAGCCTCAGCTTTCTTTTCCAAGATGTTGTACACCCACTGCAGAAGAAAGCAGGTCTTAACCATATATTATAAAAAAAAAATACAGCACTGTGCCTAGAAAAGCTACACTCTGCACTTGTAATGGGTGACATATTGGTTCATCCAGCATAGCGGCTGAAACTCCACTTAAAGGTATGAGTTTTGTCATTGCATTTATATCAGTGCCACAAGTAAGTGCAGATAATGCAACGTGCAAATAATATAAAGCACACAAATTCCCTCACCTCCCATGTAACGAGCTGCAGTCTGAGGTAAGTTAGTCTAGTTGTCAAAGGAGCAGAAACCAGATGTTAATCAGTTAAAGGAAGAAAAGAGAGTGGAAGGAAAAGCTGCGGTCTGGTTTACTGAAATACGGCAGATACTAAAAGACCTGAAACACTGTCGTTTAATAATCAAAAGAAGATCTATTTCTGCCATCTTATATACTAATGTACTGAATATTTAGTACTCAAAATTCAGTTTAAGGATCTACTAATTCATCGTTATACATTTTTTTAGAAATAAGTGTAAATTATTTTTGGCCCAGTATAAAATGTAAAGCATTCAGTCGCACAAGAATGTCTTCAGCATAACTTAACTGATTATAAATGAACTAAGCAATGTGGCTTTTAACAACTTGGCCTAGAATTCAACTGAAGTGTGCAGTCATGTGTATATAGAGTATTTTTCAGCGGCCTATTCACTCTATAACAGGAAACATGGTCCACAGACAAAACTGACCTGGACACTGAAGCTTTGGCTGTTGATGTAAGGAAGAGTGATGGCACTGTAGTCGTCCCCAGATTCTTCGATCAGAAACGTCTCCTGACGCAGATATTTCTTTACATGCTTCTCTGTTGCTGGGCAGATCACAGTGGTTTTGATTTCTGTGGATGAGAAAGAACTTAAATTAGCTCAAAGTCTTATCTAACATTGCTGATTTTGATTCTTGTACAGCAAGACAAAAACTTTTCGCCTTCTTCTGCACACATTAATCCTTCATTATATCCTGCATATCCTACATTTATTCTTGCATCTTATTTTTCCCTCTGAAGGCCCTCTTATGATGTCCGTGTGGGTTTATGTACAAACCCGTTTCCAAAAAAGTTGGGATGCTGTGCAAAGTGTAAATAAAAACAGAATGCAATGATCTGCAAATCATTTGAACCCCACATTTAACTGAAAATAGAACAAAGACAACATAAACGTTGAAACTGAGAAATTTTCTTGTTTGTGAAAAATATATGCCCAATTTTCAATGTGGTGCCAGCAACACGTTTCAAAAATATTGGGACAGGGGAAATAAAAGACCCGTAATATTGTGTAATGTAAAACAGCTGGCAGTTAATTTGTCAGTAACATGACTGGGTATAAAAAAAGCATCCCAGAGAGGCTGAGTCTTTCAGAAGTAAAGATGAGGAGGGGTTCACCACTCTGTGAAAGGCTACACGATCAAATAGCGCGATGATTCAAGAATAACGTTTCTCAACATAAAACAGCAAAGAACTTTTGCTTTTCATCATCTACGGTACATAATATCAATAAAAGATTCAGAGAATCCAGAGAAATCTCTGCATGCAAGGGACAAGACCAAAAACCAATACTGGCTGGCCGTGATCTTTGGGCCCTCAGGTGGCACTGCATTAAAAACAGACATGATTCTGTAGTGGAAATCACTGCATGGGCTCAGAAACACTTCTGAAAACCACTGTCTGTGAAAACAGTTCAGCACTGCATCCACAAATGCAAGTTAAAACTCTAAAACGCAAAGAAGAAACCAAATATAAAGAGGATCCAGAAACACTGCCGCCTTCTCTGGGCCTGAGCTCATTTAAAAAGGACTGAGAGGAAGTGGAAAAGTGTCCTGTAGTCCGACGAATCAACATTTAAAATTCTTTTTGGAAATCATGGACACTGCGTCCTCCGGGCTAAAGACCACCCTGTACACAGTTCAAAAGCCAGTATTCATGATGGTATAGGGGTGCATTGGTGCACATGCTATGGGTGACTTGCACATCTGTGAAGACACCATTAAAGCTGAACAGTTACACAGGTTTTGGCAACATATGCTGCCATCCAGACGCCATCCTTTTTTAGGGAAGGCCTTGCTTATTTCAGTGAGACAATGCCAAACCACATTCTGCAGTTCAGGCTACAGCACTCCTTATAACTTCAGCCTGAGCGGGCAGAGCGAAACTGCTGTAGACTGATTAGGTGGCTATATGTAAATACAAGTTGGCAGATGATGAATAGAGTGGAACTGAGGTCCAAATTTCAAGAAGGGATTTCACTGAATTACTTTGAAAGTGACCGTGATCGTCTTGGCTAGCATAACTTATTGGTTCCTACCGTTCAGATGAGGGGGCGCTTGGAGCTGGTAGGTGCTGTAGATGTCATTCTTCATCTCCAGCTTGAGTGTGCTGGCCTTCAACATGTCTTCAAGTGTGTCTTGCCTGATTGGCGTTTTCTCCAGTATGATAACGGCCTCCTGTTCATCCATCTAACGTGAGGACACAAACAAAGATGACCACAACGATCGCTAGCAAACTCACAGCCAACTAGAACCCATTTCCCCATCTTATTCTTGTATTAAGTAAGATATTCCTCATAAAAAATGTAAGGGCTTTTGTCTTTACCTCACGAAACCCCATCAATTTCTAATAGTTTCTCTGGAGAGCTTTTTAACTGCCTCCCACTTTCACCACTGACTGTACCTGCTATCTGTAAAGTCATTAAAGGGGAAATCCACTGATTTCTCTAAATGTCTCTAAATATGTATATGTCCTTACATCATTTAGATGTATATAAAGTCATTCAGAGCAGTTTGATCTGACATGAGCAGTTCTAGAGGAAACTACTAATTCAGAATTGCTCACATTGATAGCGATAGGAACCAGATTTCAGAAGGCCTCTAAAAGCTGTTATGAATACATTTCCTGACATACAGGACATTTTACAATAGTCTTGAGAAGGTTTTGGCCTAAAATGCATTTTAAAAAGTTAATTCATGGCAAAATAGTTATGAATACTACATATAAAGACACTTGCAGGTTCATCACTCTCAAGAAAACAGTCAGTAAGTTTCTCTACAACAAACCATTTCACATGAAACCACTCTGAATGAGTCTGCCTACATCTCAAAGATTCAATTATGCAGAATTTTTTTTGGAAAAATCTGTGGAAACACTTAAATGAGTAAAACACTAAAATACATTGGACACCTGACTGCAATGTTAGTGATGGGAACCAAATATTAACTTGGTTATGATGAACAAAGCCTTCGTGTAGTTTAATGCAGAACGTTAAAATGGGACTGTGTGGAAATCTCCAGCACAGGACTTAGGAAACCTAAGTCAGCCTCTTATCCGAATGTTCCCGTTCCACCTTAAATGGTGCAGCAGTTACATTCTGGCGCGCCAGGCTGCAAACACTTAAGGTGGACCGGGAGAATTCGAACACGAAGCCGAGTTAGCCGGTTAGCCTCCACTCTCCCGCCGCACCTTTCCGTGGACGAACACGGTCTTCTCCCGCGCAGAGTCGCGCAGAACCCGCTCCGTTTTAAAGCCGGATACCGGGCTGAGGACCGCGGGCCCGCCGTTAGTTTCCCCGTCGCCGTCATCGCCGCGAGCGCCGCCGCAGGAGTCCGACTTTAGCCGCTTCGGCGCGCTTTCCTCCACAGCCGCCGCCATCACTCTCAGCGCCCCGACCAGCCAATCACAGAGTGAAACGTCACCACAGCAGGGCGCGTTCACAGATACGGCTCTCGGCGCAACTCAACCTCTAATTCAAATTTAAAGTCAAACTCAAACCTAAACTGAAGTTTAAATTAAAACCTAAACTCCAGTTCAGGCTTAAATTCAAACCTAAACTCCAGTTCAGGCTTAAATTCAATCTCAAACTTCAACTCAAGCTTTTATATTTTTTATATTACATAGATATTTATGTTTTGCACTGGAACTACGAGGCTAATATGAAACAAATCTCTGCTGAGATTTTGAATGACACAGACTTCATGTCTCTGGTCTAAACTTCAGGCATGTTTTGACTGTACATCTGGGGTAACTGGGGGAAACCTAAAATTGATTTTTCGGTGATCTATTCCTTTAATACAAACAGTGATACACATGGCCTATTACTGCACGACATGCACAGTCAGAAAGAATAAAAAACAGTGAATAAAATAAAGAGATCGTAGCTTGTACACAACAACAACAACAACAACAATAATAATAATAACAAAGCTTTATATGTAAATAAGGCAGGTCGACACAGAAAGGGACTAATAATACATAAATAGATTTTTTTTACAGCGTTTTAAGCAAAATCTCAAATGGCTCCCTTCTCCCTACATAGTGCACTAGATAGGTCTTAAAATAATGGATGCTGCTTGTAAACAGTGCTGAGTCTTCAGCCATGTGTGCACAGTTCAGTTCTGGATTATTTATTTGGGTGTAAAATTTGGGCCTTCTGAGATTCAGCCTGAATCCTGGTTTTGGAGACCAACATCTCTGCATGGTTTGAGATATTTCCTCGACTCACAGCACCTCATCCAGCTCACGAAGAGCTCAGTAACCAGCTGAATGTGGATCAGGTGTGCTGAGACCAGGACCAGCTAAAAACCAGCACTGTAATTAAAGCAGCGTTCAGTGACCAGCATATATCTGCAGCGTGTGTAATCATTTATCATGACGTCATTATCCACAGGCAATAATAACGAATAATAACAATAAAAGTTCCCATTAAATCATATCTAAACTACACTTACAGGCTGCGAGGGATTGAGCTCTATGAAAGGCCCAGTCTGTTGGGTAAACTAAGCCCGCTCTCAATTGGTCACATCCATGTCACGTGCTCGTCTAACCCCGCCCCTCCTGCTCAGCCCCCGTTTTGTAAGAGCAGGAAAGCACTGTTGTATAACAAACAGAGCAGCGCGTTAAACCACCAGCCAGCCTTACTGAGCACAGTGAGTAGAAGCTTCATCTCAGTTTTCATATCCAGCTTTACGGGCTTTTGTAAATCGCATTCGCAGCTGTTTGTTTGCGCTAAGGCTGTGCAGACACTGTGCAGTTGGCTCTGAAAGTTGCATGCAACTGAGTAGAGCTGGGCAATATGACCATATTTATCACTATCGTGATAGATTTTGTTGCATTATGCTTTTCTGATCGTATCGTGGACATCATCAGTACCTCCCAACTGCATGTTTGATTACAAAGAGAGCCTAATTAGTCCTGTTTAATTATGTTTAGTGCAGTTGTATTCATAGTTTTTTATACTATGTTTAAATGTGGATGTCAGAAGAAACAAATATTGTGATTATCACGTATCGTAAAGAACAAAAGTATTGTGATATTACAGTTTTGCCATATCGCCCATCTCTACGACTGATGCGTCTCTGGGAAATGTTGATATGTCCAACGTGGAGCTACGGAAGTCCAGAGAGGCCATGAGCTGTTGCTATAATTTTCTGGATTTTTATCTTGGGATTAATGAGTTATTTGTCTTGTGATCTCAAGATAACAACAAATAGTTAACTCATTATCACAAGATAACTTTATCTTGAGAACGCAAGATAATCAACTTGTTATTTCCTGAGATCGTGACAGTCAACTCGTTATCTCAAGATAACAATTTTGTTATCTCGAGATCACAATATAGTTAACTCGATATCACAAGATAACAAATTTGTAACCTTGAGATCACAAGACAGTTAACTCATTATCACAAGATAACAACTTTGTTTTCCTGAGATCACAAGACAGTTAACTCGTTGTCTCAAGATAACAGGTTTGAATGGAGGCCTCCTGGTGACATCCTGTATAAATAAAAATAATGCTTGGCCACGACTTAGTAAAGTGTGGGAACGAGATCCTAACACATGGCCACGACTTAGTAAGCCGTGATGAATTCCCATGCCTTACTAAGTCATGACCACCCATTAGGATCTCGTCGTCATCTCAAGATAACAAACCTGAAATTCGTGTGCAGCCGATGCAAGTTTGTTTTTTCCATTCAGGCAAAGAATGAAGCACAAATGCATTCACTGGTTCCGCAAAGGCCTTCGCCTGCACGACAACCCTGCTTTAAAGGCCGCCTTACATGACTGCGAGCACATCTATCCCGTGTTCATACTGGACCCCTGGTTCCCCAAGAACGCACAAGTGGGCATCAACAGATGGAGATTCCTAGTGGAAGCCCTCAAAGACCTGGATTCAAGCCTGAAGAAGCTCAAGTCCAGGTTAGGAAAGCAAAGCAGGCAAAGTTGGTAATGGTTAGATCACGATACTTTGGGTGAAAAAAAATAGTGTTGAAGCATAGAAGACAGGTATCAGTATTATATTTAATTCTTACTATTTTAATTAGGGTTTTTCGGGAGTGATGCACTGATATGGGAAGTCTGGGCTGATGGAGATATCTGATATTTTTCACATACATTTGTACATTTCTGAAATGTTGAAATTGGGACTAAATCCACCTGGATACCTATTACAGAGAAATGCAACATTTATTTGGAGAAGCTTACAAATGCAGCGCAGTTAATAAAATTCAGATATTTTAGCACAGTAACCTTGCGTCGCCTAAACGTTCTGCTCTTCCATAATTCATTTAATCATTTTTGAAATATTACTGTTAATTTTTTTAACAACTATCTGCCGATAAATATGTGATTTGGATAACGTTTGGCATTCTTAGTTTTAAGACCCCAGAGACCTGAGTCCATGTTTTTCATCTAATTGGGTTAATGTTGCTCTTGTGGGCACAAATTACATGTACAAAGTGCATGTTATAAATAACATTCCAACGTCCATTAAATGGCCAGTGTTATTTTCTAAACGTTCTCCCCTGTTGATGTAAACTGGCCAGTCCTAATTTTGAGTAAGTCGTGTATAAGCTGTATCTCCACCAATCACAGGGCTGATGTAACTTGTCCTGCCCACACAGCTGTAATAAAACTGTGTTCCAACAATCTCCACCTCTCTGTTGAGTCAGAAGAACTTACAGAGGCAAACCACCAAGCGAAAGCTAACCAGTTGTGTTCAGTTGAGAGCTGAGAGTGTTAGACAGCCGGTTGTCAGTCAAGCATGCTGATTAGAATATTAGGACCACGCCCACATTTTTAAAGCAAGCATTGTGATGATATAGTATTATGAGGCCCTCCCCTAGTAACTATCTGCTGGGGTCTGGTTGCACTAAAGATTCACGAGTTGTGTTGATTCTCAGGCTCTTCGTGGTCAGAGGTACACCCAGAGAAGTTTTTCCGAAGCTGTTTGAGGAGTGGAAAGTAACACGGCTGACCTTTGAGGTCGACACGGAGCCTTACAGTCAAATACGGGACAAAGAAGTGATGGACTTGGCCAAGCAGCATGGTGTGGAGGTCATCACTAAGATTTCCCACACGCTCTACAACATTGAAAGGTAATCTGTGGTCAGACGTTGTGCTTTGAGGATGTTAATAATGCCAGTAGAACATGAACAGTGTACTCAGTTTCATTGTGTCCCTGTTCCTTTAACAGAATCATTGAGCAGAACAATGGAAAGCCTCCTTTGACCTACGTTCGCTTCCAGACTGTTTTAAAGGACATGGGTCCACCAAAAAGACCAGTACCTGCCCCAACCAGAGAGGACATGAAAGGTAGAAACTCTTTCAATTATTTATTCCATATCTTTGCAGACATTTGCTTCATAATGTATCCAGAATATGCAACACAGTCCTCCCAACACTTAAAAATAAAGGTGCCAGAAAAAGTTCTCAGCAGAACCATTTTTGGTCCCATAAAGAATATTTTAATAAATGGTTCTTTAGAGAACCATGTTTTGTAAAATCCTCATAATGGAAAGGTTCATGAAAGAATCCTGAAATTGATTGAGAACCTACATCATGTGGAGGTTCTTTATTCCATTACAAGGTTACTCACACTCACACATCTCATTCACGAACATGTTTTTAGGGAACTTACATTAGTTCCCCAAAGAACCATTTTTGTTGTTCTTTGACATAAAGACGTGAGGTAATTTATGGTTATTTGTTCTGTATTTGGTTCCGTCTAGGTATTTTGACCCCGAGCTCAGACAAACATGATGAGATTTATGGAATACCAACGCTGGAGGAGCTTGGCCAGGATTCCTCAACGTTAGGGCCAGATCTTTATCCAGGAGGGGAGCAGGAAGCTCTGCGCAGACTGGACGAATACATGCAGCGAACGGTAATTCCCTAAAGTACACACCTACTTGAAGAACCATAAATTACAGTTTAAACTCACTAGAATTTCATTAACAACACCCCCACTCCGCCCCCCACCCCTCAATAGACCTCAGTCCAGCAAATCTGCTTCCTCTGCAAATCGACTGAAGGCCTGACTCAAGCATTTAATGAAGTGTATGGTGTTTGCTGTGTTTTGCTCGATCGCAGGGCTGGGTGTGCAGTTTCGAGAAACCCCAGACGTCCCCCAATGCCCTGAGCCCCAGCACCACCGTCCTCAGCCCGTACGTCAAATTCGGCTGCCTGTCTGCACGCACGTTCTGGTGGCGCCTCGCTGAGGTCTACCAGGGGGTGAGTTAGAGTAGTTAAAACATTTGATATGATGATGATCTTAATTTAGGAATCTTATCTTGCAGCATCTTCTCTCACAAACTGTCATTGGGCAGAAGGCAGGAAACACCCTGGACAGGTCACCAGTCCATCACAGGGCAGACAGACATACATAATCACACACACACTCACACCTAGGGGCCATTTAGCATGTCCAGTTGGCCTGACTGCATGTCTTTGGACTGGGGGAGGAAACCCACGTAGACACGGGGAGAACATGCAGACTCCACGCAGAAAGGACTCTGGTTGCCCGGCCGGGGAATTGAACCCAGACCCTCCCTGCTACCCGCTGCACGTCCATGCCGCCTCTTATGACAAGTTAGGAAATCTTAACCTACTCGATCAAAGTCAGCAATCAACTGTAAAGTCTGTTACCTAGCAACTGACCATAGGCACACAGCTGACATAATCAACATAACGTTAAAAATGTACTTAGTTTAGACTTAGACTGATGTTTACTGTGTTGGTAGCAAAAGTAGAGCACTGCATGAAGAAAGAACCACTAAAACAAAAACCTGATGCCTCATGAACGCTGATCGAAGATGTAAATGACACTGTGTGTCCTGATCTGCACGGTAAAAAAGTGGCATTTCTTTGCAGAGGAAGCACTCTGTACCCCCAGTCTCCCTGCATGGCCAGCTGCTGTGGAGGGAGTTCTTCTACACGGCGGCTGTTGGCATCCCAAACTTCAGCAAAATGGAAGGCAACCCAAACTGTGTGCAGGTGGACTGGGACAGCAATCCAGAACATCTGGCTGCATGGAGGGAGGCAAGTTAAATAAGCTACACACAGTTCAGTGTTGGGGCAGTCATGGGCTGGAGGTTAGGGAACCAGCCCTGTGACCGGAAAATCGCCGGTTCGATCCCCTGAGCCGAGGGTACGTGATTGAAGTGCCCTTGAGCAAGACACCTAACCCCCAAATGCTGCAGATAGGGCTGCCCACTGCTCCGGGCAAGTGTGCTCACTGCCCCATAGTGTGTGCACACACTAGTGTGTATGTGGTGTTTCACTGCACGGATGGGTTAAATGTGGAGGTGAGATTTCCCCGTTTGGGGACTAATAAGGGCTTCTTAATCTTAAAAGTGGTGAAAATGCCCATGATTTACTGAATTGTACGGTATTTGTATTGTATAACATACCGAGACATGATTAATCACAACAGTGACATCTTCATACTACCCACTTCTGAATTACATCACATGAAGTCAGATGTTTACAGATAAGAACCTTAATTCCATCTGTGTAAATTCAGGCGCGCACAGGCTTTCCATTTATTGATGCTATAATGACGCAGCTGTGGCAAGAGGGCTGGATCCATCACCTGGCCAGACACGCAGTGGCCTGCTTCCTGACCCGAGGAGACCTTTGGATTAGCTGGGAGGAGGGTCAAAAGGTCTGTATTTGAAATAAAGCAATTTACAGGACAGCGATGCTCTTTATCATTTATATTGTCGCTTTCCAAAAAAACAAGGATCTCCAGAATGGTAAGTTTACAGGAGAGGCCAAAAATGTTCTTTACTTTCAATGTAAGTTAATGTAAAGTGATTTTATTGCAAGCAATTTTGGAGCATTTATGTTGATTCATTTATCATGAAATTGTCACAGAGTAGCCACGTTTACATGCAGCCTAATAATCCGTTAATAATCAGACTAACAGCTCAATCAGAATAGAATACGTCTATGTAAACACCTCAGTTGGAATAGTCTAGTCTGATTGAGGCCATTCAGAATACAATTTCTATCCGACTGATCGAGGTGGGTAATCCTGTAGATAATCAATTAAATAGAAGAATAATATCCGTGTAAACGCCTGTATCTGATTACATTCCCTATCGGAAAGTTTAAGTCCGTTCTGATCATGTTCGTCGCGTCATAGTGAAAGTTTATAACGTTCAACATGGCGGAGCAGAAACTGGTCTGCAGAGGAGACAAAGTTTATGCTCTGATCTTTAAAAGACGGCGGTGGGACGGACGTCCAGCTTATGTGTCTCAGAACACGACGTCTTCCTCTCGGCCTTCTTTAATAAGGACATGTGAAGGACGTTTTCCTGAGTCTGACGTCATTTTAGAGCAATTAAAAACACAAGCACTGCTCACTGCTGCTCATCTCACTCTGACTGGACGCATGTGATGCTGGTTGTCATGGTAACGTCTACCCTAAGTGGTTCTCTACACACGCACGTAATTTTGGATCTGATTACTTGTAGTGAGCATGTAAACAGAGATTTTCCCTCAGAGTGTTGAGTAGAGTGAGAATATAAACACCTCAGTCTGTAATCGGAATGTATTCAATTGGATTGGCAAAAATCTTTGCATGTAAACACAGCCAGTGTAAAGAGCAGCTGCTGGGTTTAAATTAAATGGAGAAAAAATTATGGAGATACATGTTTTTCTTTGGACAGCGGCAATATTCTTGCAGCACCTGTATCAGTACACATACATTCTTAAAAATAAATGTGCCTAATGCTGTTCTTTGGAATGATGCCACAGAAGAACCATGTCTGGTTCCCTAAAGAGAACCTTTCCACTTTTGTAAATGAGATGTCAAGAACCTTTTTAGAGTCGGGGAAAGGTTCTTAACCAAGTAAAGCTTAAATTAAAGCCAAGAGCTGTTGAGGAACTGTTTTTGAGAGTGTACTGTACATATGCAGAAATCAAAAGGTGATAATTGTGAAATGAGAAATATTGTTTTATTTACTTTTGATAATGGCTATTTCTCCAGGTGTTTGAGGATTTGTTGCTGGACGCTGACTGGTCACTGAACGCAGGGAACTGGCAGTGGCTCTCGGCCAGCGCTTTCTTTCACCAGTACTTCAGAGTCTACTCCCCCATCGCCTTCGGGAAGAAGACTGACAAGAACGGCGACTACATCAAGTAAGAATCTGTTTCATATATCTTTATTGTAAATGTAACTAAAGAAGGAAATTCTCTGCTAAAATGGTTTGATATTAACAACTATTAAGGCTGAATTGTAATGAATTATGATTATATGCTGTGTCTGTCAACATGTGCTGGCTTATGTATGTCAAACTGTGTGAACAGCGCTCCCTTAAAAAGTGATGCTTCAGCATTTCTTCATTAAAGATAGTGGTTATATATGGATGATTCTAATGAACTGATTCAAAGTCTGAGTTCAAAACACATTTCGGATTAAAATTCTTTTTGATTTGAGTGACGCTTTAGTTTTGTTTATTTTATTAAAATAAATTATTGTTTTGGTAATGACAAAATGGAATGTTCAGTCATAACACTACCGAAACTTTACCAAATGTTCCAGTAACGACTGATTTGGTAATAATAATTTGAACTCATTTTGAGCCGAACTCTCAGTACATGACCAGCAAACACAGCTTTGAACAGGCGTACAGTCATAAAATCACAGTATTTTTCATTAAAACACAAAAAGGTTTGTTTACTTGCAGAATATTTGTTTCCACACTGATTTCCGGACTTTGGGACACATTTACTTCAAAACTATGGGATCTAACTGCTCACCATGTGGCCATGAGGGACAAGGAAGTGCAGCCTCACTTCCTGCTCTAAAGTGCAGGGGGCGTGGCTAAAACAAAGCCACCCACAGACTAAAACTGTTTCAGTAGTGACATGAAATGTGAGACAGCATTTATTGAATTTTGAAGTTTTTTCAATTTAAAAATGATTAAACTTGTGATAAATCTAAGTATTTCAACTTCACTTTAAAAGAAATTGAACAGATTTAAAAACTTATTTGATTTATACGTTGAAAAAAAATGTAAAATGTAATATTAGTCAGTCAGTCAGTTTATTGATCCCGAAGGAAATTTAGCAGCCACTAGTATTATTTTCACATGTGTAAATTTAGGGGTCAGGATTTGGGACAGAAGTCATCCCTCCAGAAAGTAATGATTTTGTAAAGTAATGATTGAAGAATGATACATTTTATATATATATATATGTATGTATATATATATATATATATATATATGTGTATGTAAACATCTAAAAGTTGAATTTTAATTTAATTTTTTAACTGATTTGGTCCAAAAATAATGGTCTGTATAGAACCGTGGCGATTCAGAGAACACAGATGTTTAAATGGTTCTTATGAAAAACCTGTGGTTTAGAAGGAACCTTCAAAAAATTGTTCTATTTAGCACCAAAAAAGGTTTCTGCTCTTCTTACTGAATCTAGTTAGTCATAGTCACATACACATACACATACACATACATAGAACTGTTCTTAAGAGTGTCCAAACCAGATTGTACAGAAAACCGAGAAAAATCTGTCTTTTTCTTCTACTGTTAGAAATAAAGGTTCTATTCAGGTACATTTTCCGTTCATCAAGGTACAAACAATGTAAACGTTCCCTCAAAGGTACAACAGTGGTTTTAAGGTCTGATTGTGAACCTTAAATAAGTTTTTCCAGGTGAAAAGTTCGTATTTGTACCTTTTTCATAACTGAATGATTTAAAACAGAACAGTAAAATAAAAGCCTGGAGACGAGACGGGGTGTGTGGAGTCAGTACAGCTTAGAACATATCATTTCAGTGGATTATGGTTCAGTTATGTTCCCTGACTAAAGGTACTGAGATGTACCCTTGAGGGTACCACCCCAGTGACTAGAGGGGAACTGCCCCGGTGACAGTTTACTACCTTTATTTCTGAGAGTGTAAGAATTATTACTTCATTGTTTTTGTAAGATTTTGATGAGAGGTCATATAAACGTTTGTAATGTTGCCCTTCTTCAGTCAGCAGATCCTCAAAACTGCTTTGTTTGGTTTTGTGCTAGTGGTGGTCCTGGTCAAGTATTGTTTGGGTCTCATCCACCCCAACGATACTATACACATTGTGGCCTCTGTGGCCTACGTTTACCCATAACCCCCTTCTCTTCATCTGTTTCTGTCATTCCTGTAAATGTAATGGAAAAAGTGGAATATTTCAGACAACTTGTTTAATATTAGTTATTAACTGCATAATGTAGAAATTAATACTAATACAATATGTGAAAATGATCTTTCAGGAAATACCTCCCAGTCCTAAAGAAATTCCCACCTGAGTACATATATGAACCGTGGAAAGCGCCAAAGAGTGTCCAGCAGCAAGCAGGGTGCATTGTGGGAAAAGACTACCCCCGTCCTATAGTGGACCATGACGTCGTCAGCAAGAGGAACATTCAGAGAATGAAAGCCGCGTACGCCAAGCACTCCAGAGACCCCACCCACAGCCAGACTGAGAGCAAAGGTGAGCTTCACACCAGTACTAGCTGTAGGGGTTGTATTAAAGGGCCCATATCATGGAAAACTAATTGTCTTCACAATTTTGGGTAACACTTTACTGTAGGGTACAGTTCATAAGGCTACATGTCAACTGACATAACCCTACATAAATGTTTATTGATGCTTATTCCAGGAGGCGTCATCTGTCACAAATGCTACTTTGATCAAAATTGGAAAATGTACATCTATTGTAAAAAGCATTAAGCGGGTTTCTTAGTGTGTTTCTTCAGCATTTCAGTCGTTTTGTGTGGGTTTCCGCTAAATTTGGGCTAACGTTATATTTTAAGCTTTAGGCTAGAACTGACTTTGGTTTGAACGCATATAGAGATTCACAGAGTTAACATTACGCAAACTACAGCTTATGTGGCCTGGGAAAACTAATGGGTTGTAGACATACAGCTCAGTTAACTTACCCTGAATACGAGGGCTTTATGTGTACACTTACATTAAATATGCAGGAATAAAACTTTACCTTAAGCAGGCCTAAATAAAGTGTAATATTAAGATTTAGGCTAAAATAAACTTAATTTTTTAACGTATGCTTTCTGAAAAAACATAGAAACCATTAAGTGTTTCTTTGGGTTTCTGGTGGTTTTGTAGTGTGTTTTGTTTGATGGTTTAGCTGATTAGCAGTGGTTGATTCGTATATTGGCAGCGGTCTCCCTTCCTGAATGGTAATATGCATAGCGACACATACAACCAGCACAAACAGTCACTGTTTACATCAGACGTTACAAATGAGGAGACCGGCTGGTTGAAATATGAATGTGACACTCATAACGCTCAACTTTCCTATAAGGACTTTGTTAACATGGCACAATCGCTCTGTCCTGCTGCGCATGCACACCGCTGGAGTGAAACTGCGGGTGAAAATCTGTGGCTCTGCCGTCAGACGCTTCTCAAAAATAGTCTGATTTGAGTTCATTGTTTTTGTAACGTCACAAAAACAGCGCATTTACATATTCGCCTATTAAGGCTACAGCAGTTAAGCCCCGCCCATTTTCGCTGAAGTTATAAGGAGTGTTTCAAACTGGACTACTTTTTTGAAGGAAGCACCATACAAGGCAGCCAGTCAGAAAAAAAATCTCCATTTTTATCTTTTCATTTTTCAGTTTTTGACATCATTTGAAAATGCCTGTTGTCCTTTACATTGAGTGTGAATTTCATGATGAATGGAACAAAAGAAACAACTTAGGGGGAAAAAGTCTGGTTCCATTGACTTACATTAAAAATAAAGTATGTTTTTTCCTTTTCCTTTAAAGTCATCAGTGATATGAGACTTAAAAGTACAGTAACAAAAACAGCCTGTTGAATTCTAAGGCAATAAGAGGTGGGAAAAGAGTAATGTAACAATGAATTATGACTTTTTATGGATAAAGCCACAGAAATGTTGCTGGTGCAGCTCAGGGGAAAAATGAAATGCAAGAAAATTGTAGAAAATGAGGCTTTAATATAAGTTTCCATATTATTGTACTGTTTTCACTTGATTTTGTGTTGCTTTGTCTCTGTACAGGACAGAAACGTAAATCAGCGTCCATCAAAGAAATGTTCACAAAGAAGGCAAAGAAATAAATGCTTCCATCACCAGTTTGAGGGCTGTTGGACTATTTTATGGGTCAGATTTCAGAATGTTTGATTCAGCCTTTAAGTGTGATGCTAAAACACATCTGTTTACTTCATCCAGCACAAAATGCTCGGAAGCTGAAACTGGATCAGGTGATCAGCTACAAACATTTGGATACATCAGATTTATCAAAAAAAATGATAAAACTTCTATCCTAAAAACGCCGTTATTACACAGACATTGTTCTCCACTGCAAACCCCATTACGAGTTATTTCAATTAAAGTATGAACCCCCAGAAAATGAGGAATAACATGGAAACAGATCATTACACACAGATAAAAATGCAGCTCTAATGAAGCTCATGCTACGCTTTGGTCTTCCGCACCAAAGAACAGCCTGTTTAAAACAATAAATTACAGTAACGGGTGGCATGCATAATCAGTAATGAGGAAAACTACTCATTCATCCTGAATGATTAATGTGGTTATTCCGCACACAAACTACATTATACTATATTTCGCTCTCCTGTTTTCCAATCTTGGACAGTTCTTCAGCATTTATGAGCAAAAAAAAGTGTATTTGAAGTACAACACCATTATATAAGACATAATAAAGGACACTTACATATTCAAACATGAAACGTTTCAGTATACCTGAGCGCTCCAGTTAAATCCTCTACTATATATACTGCAAAAAGTCAGAGACCACCCTTCATTTATTTAATCTCCAGCCAAACAGCCATTAATTACATCAGGGGTGTCAAACTCAACCACTAAAAGGACCATATTAAAAACTCTCAACAAATCTGTGGGCCACAGAGCGGCCTTCTTCATCTCTGCCATGTATCTATCTTTTGTCTTGTTGTGGCACCTACTCTGGTATTCCTTTATTACGGCCACACCATCTCCCCACATGAGACAGATTTACCAATATTGGAAGTACAAACGTATTTGAGTGCCCACCTGTCTTGAAACCCCCAGTTTTCACGGTCCACTTTTCTCTTTCAGCGAATCAGGTGTTTTTAGCTAGCTGTGTTTATATAGGTTGGACTGCGGCTGAGGCACAGCTAGCGTGTCTGGTTGTACAACTGGTGTGGTTGAATTGTGGTGTAACCGCCGTTTTATAAGAGTATCAGTGGGGGAGGGGGGTTGGAGCGCACGTCACGTTGCAGAGCATTCTGGGGATTGTAGTGCTGCATATTGTGAAATGGGCTAATATAAACAGAAAGTGAAAATAACTTCACGGGCCACATAGGATTGTGCTAACAGGCCTAACCTGGCCAGCCGGCCTTGTGTTTGACACATGGAAGCTACAAATGGTTTTCCAAGAGATGTTTCTAAGTAGATTGGATAGAATATTTGCACTTGGATAAAGAAGGAGAAAGTCAAAGGAAAATAAGTTTAAAAAAAGTGATTAAAAGCCACCATGGGGAGGAAATGGGACCAAAACTGCCCCCATCAGATAAAAACAGCACTTAAAGCTTTCATCTTTGAGAGAGAGGAGAAAATCAGGCTGCGTCAGATCTGAAAACATCCACAGCCGTCCTTCCACTGTGAGAAGACAAGAACATCAAGCAGGGCCCAGACCAACATCACTGAATCGGGACATCATTGGATGGTGAGAAGCAGAAAATGCAACCAATTAAGCCAGACTCCTAAAAAGAAGCTTCCTCTGATGCTGAAGAGTGAATAACTTGTACTTAGTGGCTGTTTTGACTGGAAATTCAGTTACTAAAGAGGTGGTCTCTGACTTCTGCACAGTACTTTGTATGTTTACAGTTACTGGCTTGTTGCTGCACAATTGGTCAGCCCCCTTTACCTCATTCTTCAGTGAAAGGGACCACCACAGGACCACTATGTGGTGTCATTCTTAGCATAGCAGTGATGCTGACATGGTAGTGTATAACTGGTACACATTTACCAGACACAATAAACCTATAAGTGCACCTTTATGGTAGGTGTTTCTGATAAAATGGCCAGCGAGTGTAGCAACAGTGTAAGCCAGTGTTGATATAGTAGAGGATTTAACTGTATTTGTAATGAGTTTGGCTGTATGATTCCCCAGAGTTATGCATTTAAAACAGGGATTATAAAAATGCAAAATGCACTGAGGTGCACTGATCTGAAGGCAATGACTCATATGCATCCATTTTGGAAATAACAGAATAGATTATAATTATATTCAATAATGTCCAGAATATTTTTCCAAGATAAAGTCTAATAAAGTTTTTTTTTTTTATATATATAAAACTTGGACTGTTGTTTCGTCTGTATTCCACCACTGTGTAAATAGTTCCTCCAGTTTTATTTATGTATTTATTTTATTTTTCCCCCTAATTTAGTCAAGTCCAGTTCCAAATGCTAGCCAGGTCTCCCTCTATCACACAATGCTACCAGGCTGGGAGGGCGAAGACTAGCACAAGCTTCCTCCAAGACACATGAAGCTCCACCACATGCAGCTAATGCAACATCATTGGGCCTGAATACGCTTGGAGGAGAACACTAACTGCTAATTCAATGTCGATAGTCTCTGTGATGTCTACAAGAACGTCTGAGTGAAACCATGGGAGATTTTGGCCTAAATGGGGAACAAACTGGGTGTGAAATTTCTAAACCAGTGAAACGCCTTGTGAAGGTGGAGTTGTGGCATCACCAGGGACTGAACTTATGTGATTACAGTTCTTACACAGACCTACAGTCAACATTTTTAAAAAAATAATAAAAAAAAAGCATTTCTGAATTGAGTTCTGGTAAAATTTGAGATTGGGAAATGATTCAGTGCATCAAAAGATTCATAATCATTGTTGAGAGGTAAGAGACGCTCCTAGCAGACACTTCTACTGTAGTGAATCCAGCTTCGATTGAAAACGTTCATCTCAACCGTCCGAAACAGACAGACGTTCATGTGTATCACCTCCTCTCTTGGTTCCAATATACTGGCTATAATTAACCACTGCCTTTAATATCGTCCTTCTTCCTCACACAATGTTCCTCTCCAGTATAGGCTCCTGGTACAGGATACGTTTAAAATCAAACGCGCTGAGGTCAATGGTCTGGAAGCCTCCGTCCAGAATGAGCTCGGCCACGGCGCGGCCGATGGCGGGGGACTGCTGGAGCCCGTGGCCGCTGAAACCTGTGGCAAAGAACATGTTGTTGACCAGAGGGTGCATGCCCACAATGGCGTTCTGATCGAACGTGTTGTAGTCGTAATATCCCGCCCACGCTCCTGACACCTGGGGGAAAAAAATGAAAAAACGTTAGATGCGTCCACTGTGTAAGAGCAGAAGTACTGAGGTGACCACTTGGCACAGGGGTAACATCTGCAGTGACAAGCACTTTAGAAAACCAATGAACTGCTCATTAAAACTTCCACCACATTCACCTTCAGACACTGAAAGGGAGGAGCCCGATGGCAGAGGACCGGCCAGACTTTGTGGTGAAAGTACTCGTGGTCAACTTCCAGGTTTGTGACGTCTGGTTCCTCCGTCTGCCACAGGGAAACAAACAAACAAACAAACAAACAGCTCGGTTAAGATACTCTAGTACAGATGAACTTGAGGACCCTAAGCTCCGCCCACTGTCATGTCAGAACTGCTGTAACACATCTGACCAGATCATGAAGCGTAATGAACTGAATCTGATGTGCTGGAACAAAATGAATACAGAAACAGAGAGAGGGAGCTTTCAGACACGAATAAACGAAGGAAGGAAGAGAGGAAGCAAAGAATAGATTAACCAAGAATATGGGCACAAAGAGAGGAACGAAGGAAGTGAGGAATGGAGGAAAGAGGGAAGGAAGTAAAGAAACAAATGAACCAAAGAAAGAACAAAGGAAAGAATGAACAAACAAATGATCAAATAAAACAGGAAAGAGGAAAAGGAAGGAAATTAGGAAAGAAAGGAAGAGAGGAAGGAAGGAATAGATGAACAAATGAAGGGAAGAATAAGGGCACCAGAGGAGCAACAAAGGAAGTGAGGAAAGAAGGAAAGAGGCAAACGAAGGAAAGAAAGAGGGAAGGAAGTAAAGAACCAGATGAATGAAAGAACAAAGGAAAGAATGACCTAGAGAAGTAAGAAAGGACCAAAAGAACGAAAACAAAAACAAAGGAACGAATATGGGAGCGAAGGGAGGAACAGGCAAACAAAGGAAAAAAGAGGGACAGAAGTGAAGAAACGAATGAAGGACAGAATGAACTAGAGAAGTAAAAAGGAACACACAAATAAACAAAGAAAAGAATGAGAAAAGGAAGGAAGGTAGGAAAGAATGAAGGTAAGGAAGGAATGCATGAAAGGAAGGAAAGAATAGATGAACACATTTCCCCGTTGTGGGACTAATAAGGGTCACTTAATCACTTAATCAAAAGAAGGGAAAGAATATTGGCACAAAAGGAGGAACAAAGGAAGTGAGGAATGAAGGAAAGAAAGAGGGAAGGAAGTAAAGAACCAGATGAATGAAAGAATGAAGGAAAGAACTGAACTAGAGAAGTAAGGAAGGAACAAATGAACAAAAATAAAACCAAAGGGAAGAATGAAAGGGTGGAAAGTAGGAAAGAAAGGAAGAGGAAGGAACAAATGAAGGAAAGAATATGGGAACAAAGGGAGGAACAGACAAAGGAAAAAAAATGGACAGAAGTGAAGAAACGAATGAATGAAGGAAAGAATGAACTAGAGAAGCAAGAAAGGAACGAAACAAACAAAAAAGAATGAGGAAAGGAAGGAAGGAAGGTAAGAAAAAGATGACTTAATCAAATGAAGGGAGAGAATATTGGCACAACAGGAGGAACAAAGGAAGTGAGGAATGAAGGAAAGAAAGAGGGAAGGAAGTAAAGAACCAGATGAATGAAAGAATGAAGGAAAGAAATGAACTAGAGAAGTAAGGAAGGAAGGAACAAACAAACAAACAAACAAACAAAGAAAAGAATTAGGAAAGGAAGGAAGGTAGGAAAGAATGAAAGGAAGGAAGGAATGCATGAAAAGAAGGGAGGACAACAAAGGAACGAACAAAAAGGAAGGAAGGAATGAATGAAGGAAAGGAAGGAAGGAAGGAAAGAATAGATGAACAAATTTCCCCGTTGTGAGACTAATAAAGGTCACTTAATCACAAATGAAGGGAAAGAATATTGGCACAACAGGAGGAACAAAGGAAGTGAGGAATGAAGGAAAGAGGCAAACGAAGGAAAGAAAGAGGGAAGGAAGTAAAGAAACGAATGAGAGAATGAACTAGAGAAGTAAGAATGGAACAACTGAACAAAAATGAAAACAGGAAAGAATGAAAAAAGCAACAAAACGAAACACGACTTACTTCATTTCATTATCATAGTCTACATGAATGAATAACCGATTATGTAAATGAATACTGATATGGATTTGAATAGCCACGCCCACACCTCCTCTGGAGACATCCCCGTGATGTAATTTCCTCCGAGACCCTCCCGTCTTACGTAAAATCCTGAGTAGTCGACCAAAAATGGACACTCCAGGCCCGGACCGTCTGGACAGTGCACCACATAAACATACCTGCGGGATTTTTTACACAAAAACAGTCCAAATTACTACATAAGTGTCACTAAATGTCAAATCAATAACAACGTTTCATGAGGACAGATGGAAATGTTGCTACTTTAACGTTCATTAAAGTTAGGAATGTTTTTCTTTCTTCTGTAAAGTTACCACTTCTGACTGCTTCTGTATGAAGGTTTTGTTACGACAGCAATGATCTCTGTGAACGTTTGAACGCCCCCTTATATGTTTTGTTGATTTTCTAAGTGAAAGTAAGTGAACACTCCCTCTACAGGGAACTTAAATATGACATTTTTCTGCTCATTTTAGTGGACAGTTTCTATGTATATGCCAAGTTTAACATCCATCCATCCATCTAAACCGCTTATCCTTCTGGGTCGCGGTGGGGTGCTGGAGCCTATCCCTGCTGTCATTGGGCGGAAGGCAGGATACACCCTGGACAGGTCACCAGTCCATCGCAGGGCAGACAGACAGACACAATCACACACACACTCACACCTAGGGGCAATTCAGCATGTCCAACCAGCCTGACTGCATGGTTTTTGGACTGTGGGAGGAAACCGGAGTACCCGGAGGAAACCCACGCAGACACGGGGAGAACATGCAAACTCCACACGGAAATGACCCTGGTCACCCGGCCGGGAATGGAACCCAGGCCATTCTTGCTGTGAGGCGACAGCGCTACCCACTGCGCCACCGTGCCGCCCCCCAAGTTTAACATGTTGGAAAAAAATAAAACATAAAATACATCTCAAAAAAAGTGACATAACTACATTTTCCTGTTTTATTTTTTCCCCCAATATGTTAAATTCAGCAAATAAACAGTAACTACGTTAAAATGTGCAGATGTTTTTTTTTTCTAGAGAACTTTACACTAGAAACTTTACATGACTGTATGCTCAGTAAAATTAGGCAATATGCCATAACATTATTTCTGAAGGCATTTTCACAAAAATAATATGCATCACAATATTTAGGTTTCTTTTAACAAGAATTATTTGTTTCATTGTCAAAAGTTTAAGATTTCAGAAGGAACAGGAGGACGAATCAAACAGATTAAGATAAGATGTCATAACGCCCTCGCATTCAATCAGCTGCTTGTTACTATGCAGTTAACTAGGCCTGTCACAGTTATTAATCGCCTAATCGCAATTATTTGAGACGATCGCAATCATTTAAACTAACTGCAGACATTTTCCACAGTCATTAGATTTCAGTTTTATTAGGCTGCAAACAAACAAAGTGAACTGGGTGAGCTGTGTAAAGGCAAATAAGTGGAAATGAAAGACAGCAATACATGCACTCATAGCAACACATCATGGTAGTTATGAAAAGTCTTTTTTGTTGCTGTTTTGTTGTTTTTAGCATACATGCTGGCAAAATGACTTTCTTATAGGTTCACTCTCATGAAGAACATCTGGCTTTGCTAAACTCTACATCTAATTCTGTGTAAGTGTAAACAGCTGTGTGAGAGCATCAGTACTGATTCAACAGCACAACCAGTGAGTGCGTTAACATGTACTCAAAAATCTGATTTCTTTCATAATCGGATTTCTGCAGTTATCGGTTTATTCAAGTGGTCATGTACACAGCACAGTCTGATTTCTTAGATTGAAATAAGGTCTAGAAATCTGATTAAGAAATCTGATGAAGAGAGCTGGATTTTAGCTTAGTAATCAGATTTTTCAGTGCATGTGAACTCTTACTCTGATTTCTTTCGGATTTCTCAGTCTGAGCACTGTGTGAAAACAGACGGCGGTATCAGAAATAAGCGAGCAGCGTCACCGCGAGACACAGCAAAACACTTTCGCTGAAACCAAATACATGCTTGACGAAATGAAGGATTTAAATGTTCTTCATCTTCTAGATGATGTATGTTCATATTTTCAGGTAAAGTGGCGCAATGTTTTTTTAAAAAAGAAGCTGCGGCATGAAGTCTGAGTTCTGCATCACGTTTACGTCATGTCTTCTTCTGTGAGTCTGTTGGCCGGTTGCAAAGCAGAAATCTGATTACTGTCTGACTCATGTAGACCTGGAGTTTCCCCACTATCTGATTACTCAAGTGCATGTAAACACATTGATCGGATTACTGACAAAATCTGATTTTCGGAAGTTGTAGGAATATTAAGTGCATGTAAATGCACTCAATGTTAGCTACTAAGTAAACATAGCTAGCAAGTGAGGTAGCTAATCAGCCAATTTGGCCACTTTAGGCTTATATTTTATTAGTATAAACAATCAACAAAAAAACAAAGACAAACTGTTCGGATTATTTAAGCTGAAATTTCATGATCATACAGTGGTTGATGTTGTTTACAGGCTCTAAATCTTCCTTTATTGTTTATTGTCCTAGAAATGCTGACCTTACCCATCTTCCACTCCGTAAATCATACTGTGAGGTAATTTATCACCATAATGACAACACTGTCATACTGTCCACCCCCAATACTATCCTGAAGATCATGTGTGGTGTGTTCTTACCTCTTTCTGGGTTCCACAGGTAACGGAATGCCAGCCATAGTTTGTTTTGGTCCCTGTCCGATACCGAGCATGTCAGCAATTTTCCCAGAACTGGCTCCTGCTGCATTGACCACCACTGCACACTCCACAGGCTGGTACTCCAAACTGTTGGGCATCCGCACCTATTAGAGCACGAGTTCATTATACGCTCACATTATAGCAGAAAAGCCGTGAGCAACTACGAAAAAAAGGTTCAGCAGTTGACACTAGTGCCAGTGACCGTAATAAAATTCTATAATCATGATATTTTCACATAATGTTTAAGCCAGCATTGATAAAGTCAATGAACTAGGATGGCGTTTTAGGGCCACTGTTAATAAAAATAAAAATAGTTGACTTCGAGAAAAAAAGTCGTAATATTTCAAGAAAAAAGTCGTAGAATTACGACATTAAAGTGGCATTAATACCAGGAAAGGTCTCAATATTGTGGCCAAAGGCTTTGCAGAGGGAAGGCAGCCCCTCCTCGTGTCAAATGAGGGGTGGTGAGTTGGTGGAGTTTCATATCGATTCACCCATAAAGAAACACTCAGTCTCCCTGTCTCTCCTGCACATCAGCACCAGCCTGTTATTAGTATAAGAACCGGCTGAAACGGCTGAGCAGGAAACTGTGTTTATCTAGAATAAAGAGCCAGACGGACTCGGAGGAAACTGTCTGTCTGTGTTGTTGAAGGAGAATCTCAGGCAGGGTCGTCTACACGGCTATCAGGGGCTACATCTCCCCCCATTCAAAGAGGGCATGAAGTTTCACAGACAGTGAGAATGATGATCAAAATGATCCACAGAGAGACAGGAGTGAGTGGAGCTCCGGTGCCAGTACAGCAACCAAGACCCCAACGCGTTATGTTAGCCCCCCTACAGTTAGCCCCCCTACAGTTAGCCCACTTTATCCTCACAATATTACGACTTTATTCTAGAAACATTCCGACTTTTTTCCTCAAAGTCCACTATTTTAATTTTTATTAACAGTGGCAATAAAACGCCGTCGTAATGGACACATGCTTCCAGAGTGCTGCTCTATTCTGAAAGGTCTGGGCAATATGACGATATACATCATTATTGTGATAAATTATGTCACAATATGCTTTTCTGAACATACTGTGTATATCATCAGTACCTATAGAACACGGAGCAACTGCATGTTTCCCAATTATGGAATACAAATAACTGTAATCATAGTTTTTGATAGTATTTTAAAAACTACTGATTCTTTTTTCTGTTCCAACTGATCAGACATTTGAAAAAATAAATATCATGACGTATCATGTATCAAGAAAATTTCATGAAGTATTGCAATATATTTTTGCCATATCGCCCACCACTCCTAAATGGATATATTACACACCTGACATTTAGTACTGTGTAAAAGTCAGAGACCACCCTTCATTTACTTCATATCCAGTCAAAACAGCTAGTAAGTTGTTTATTATTAAGGAGATATTTCAGGAGACTGGAAATAAAGGAAATAAATGAAGGCTCTGGCTTTTGCGCAGTACTGTAGCTGCACTGACTGTTTTGTTCTGTTTTCTTCTCTTAAAATGACGCCAGAGTGATTTCTACACAGCACTGTTAATGTGCACCAGACAGAAAGCAAAAAGAAAAAAGAAAAAAACGGTTCTTTCAAAACTAAAGCAAAAGACATACATTGCAGTTAACTTAGAACCTCTAAAGTGCACAAAATAGACCACTATATTATGGCTATCATGGATATACTGCGCATTATCTATCAAATCTATCACTAAAAAATATCACCAAAATTGAAAAGCTATATCGATATCACGGTATATTGATATAGACGATATATCGCCAAGCTTTTGTTTGACAGTGCAGTTTAAACCAAATGAACAAAGCTTTGAATAAAAAAAAGAAGACAAACATGCAAACTTACATCAACATATTTGATCCTTTTTATGTTTACAGGGTCTCCATCCATGGTTTCTGCTTTCTGTGAGGAACATCTGAAACCTAATACACAAATAAAGAATTTAATTAGCGCTGAAATTTACTGACCAGCCCGACATGAACCATCATTATCTACAATACCGTTAAAAAGTTTGACTTATTGATAAATTGTTATTTTATGGGCAATAATAACTATAAACAAAACTGCAAATGAACCAAAGTTAGTCGCTGGTCTGATGTTAAGGGGGAACTTCTACATATTTCTACATAATTAAATGGTTGAAATGGAAACAGAGTCATTCAGAGTGGTTTGGTGTGAAATGTTCAGTTCTAGAGGAACTTACCAAGTCAGAACTGTTCACAGTGGTGGTGATAGGAACCAGACGTCCAGCTCTAAAAGCCCCCTCACAGAAAGTTACTATATGAAATGGTTATGAATTCACTGCCTGATGTCTGACTCATTGTTTTATGACAGTTATGTGATCATGTTTTGCCTTAAAATGTATTTTAATCCACATATTTTGATCCATTCATGGTGGAGGGATACATGCAGGGTGCTTCACAGCAAAATAGCCCCAAAATAAAGCTCATCAGCATTACACATAAAAACTCTCAAGACTCGTGTGGGTTCACTGCTGGTTTGGACAGTAAATAAAACGTCCATATTTGTGTTGCAGACATGGCAACCCCTGGTTCCTATCACCACCCCTGTAAAGAAAGAGTCTGTAAGTTGAAATCTTACAGAATGGTTGAAATCTACAATGAACCACTTCACATCAAACAACTCTGAATGAATATATTACACCTCAAGGACTGAATTATTCAGAAATTTTGAAAAACTGCTGGAATTCCCCTTTAAGAGGCACCTTAAAACAGCTTAAAGTTAATATGATAATAAACCATACATAATATAACCTCACATTAACAGTGAAAGGTACAACATATGAATGTATCGAGTACAAGAAAATTAATTACTATCAAGGTTATGCAGATAACAGCACATACAAGCAGCAAAGCTTGAACAGAGGAATAGATTAAATGTTATAAACCAGCCCATAAAAGTATTTAAAACTGTTTTACGGTATATTTTAAGTACTTTAGGAAAAACATACTGTAGATTTGATCACCACTTTTCAAATATGAGGCGCTCTGGATATTAATTATATTAATTGTATTAATACTGTTTCGTTCTTTATGTTACACAGCTTGTGAATGATTTTAGAAACATCTACAGTTGATTATTCTGGAATCATCTAACATCTTCCTCATCATTTGCTAATTATTAGAAACCTGTGATCATCATATTAGAATCATTTTATGCATGTGGAGTCATGTGCAATAGTTTGTGCACCCCTGATCACATGACATGTTTTGTTGATTTGTTACATAATTCAGTTACTGTGCTGAATTTAAAACACTGGGGGACAAAATAGAACAAATGTTATGGCACATTTTATATTATGTGTTATTTTTTTCCCCCTAAATATGTGAAACTCAGCAAATAAACAGAAATTATGGACTAAATTAGCAGAAAAAAATGCCAAATTTAAGTGTGTTCCCTGTAGAAGATGTGTTAATTTATTTTCTCTTAGAAAATCAATGAAACATGTCATCTGACCAGGGGATGTTCAAACTTTTGTATACTACTGCATCTGCAACCATTATTCAACTGTCCAAACTTTAGTAGCATAAATCCAGTGTTAATCTGCACGAAACAGAGACCAAATCTAGAAATTAGTCACCAAACAAAACATAAAAGTGTCAAATGTTGTTGTGCTGTTATATTGTTACTCATGCATTACATCCACAAGAAGGATGTTAAGTTAACCTGTGACTTCTCCAAAGCACTGATAGACTCCCATAGACATGGCCTTGCATCTGAATGCGTTCAGCAGCGTCCAAGGGTCAAACCAGCCTTCGTTCTCCAGCCCTAAACAACACAGTGCAGTCAGTATACTCTCAATTTCAACATCACCTACAGTCATCTGCAAGGGACCATCATTAATTTCCAGTCAAAACTGCACAGTACAAAGTACAAGTTATTCATTTTCAGGAGATGTTTTTGAGGAGATTAGATATAAAATAATCCACAAAACTGGACTTTGAGCTGGAGTTCGAAAATGGTCAAAAGCTACAGAGAAAATGTGGCTCCTAACAACCACCTGGAAGACCTGGTCGACACCAAAACTGCCCCCATCAGATAAACAGCACTTAAAGCTTTCATCTCTGAGAGAGAGGAGAAAATCAAGCTGCTTCAGATCTGAAAACATCCACAGGTGTTTCTGTCCATCCTTCCACTGTGAGAAGACGACTCAGCGCTGTGGGTCTGAAAGGATGTGTAGCTGTTCAAGAAGAACCTCACTGAGAAAAGGAGACGGACACATCAAACAAAGAAGCTGAACGATGGTCTGACCACCCCAGAGTCCAGACCTCAACACCACTGAATGTGTTTGATTACTGCAGAAAATGATCAACCAGCTTCTAAGACTGAACTTTGGAGGTGTGTCTGCAGATTCTTTGAGAAACTGAAAGTGAGTCTCCTGAAAAGAATGAAAGCCATAATAAAGGTAAAGAGTGACTCACTGATAAGATATATTTTGTTGTCTGTATAATTTTCTGTTAAATATATGTTTTCTGTTTTTTCCTGCTGCTGAAAAATGAAGAACTTTGGATTTAAAAGCCGTTTTGACTGGAAAAATAAACGAAGAGTGCTCTTCGACATTTGCACAGTACAGCGTATTTCACCAATAAATAATTAACCTTCCTGCAAAAAGTTAAAAAATACACATAATCGGTCACCACGTCAAAGTTTACACATACAAGAAACCAAAAGACCAACCATAAGAGGCCAGGACAACTCCATCTGTGTTTATCCAAGGAAATCTCTCCTTAACCTGGGTTGGTGATAAGAGGGTGACTTTTGCCCCAAGATCCCTGGTACAGAAAAAACAATCAACAAACAAACAAACAAAAAAAACAAACAAGTAAAAAGCAGCTTCTTTATATGTTCAGCAGCCAACTACTCAAATGCATTCAGACTGCTTACAAGAACCCCCCTTAAATGTATCTGATCAGCCAAAACATGTTTGGTGCCTGAGATTAGCTTTTGTACTGGAGCTGTCTGCATACCTGAACCACCACAGACTTGCCTCAGACTGAGTTGAGTTTTTACTAATGTTTAATAGACTGGCTTATGATGTTTTTGTCACTGAAAAACACACTATTAGCTATAAAAAAAAATGGACTTAGCATCGCTAAATACAACAGTAGAAGCCTGTCCACTTCTGAAGAAGCTAACTTCAAACACTATGGCCCAGTCTCATTTCTTATTTTTACCCCTACCCCTTGTTTTCGAGTGTCACCTTGCCCCTCGGAACTGAGTTCCAAGGGGTAGTGGTTGAAATCTTCCCTACGAAATGGGACCCTCAAATAAAAAGAGCATTACTTCATTAACAGCTACTAGCGCTGCTCTGTAGGCAACCCTGCCAGTCTGCAGTGACAGCAGAGGAGGGTAAAGTTCAGCTCCTCACTGCTGGGCTTTAGTTACATTTAGGGCATCATATGCTTTTAAAGAGGAGGGGGGCAATTATTTATTATCACCCACTCTTCATTCTTCAGTGATATGAAGCTGAAGTCAGATATTCTCCAGTTTCTCGTTTGAATTTTCCCGTTCCACCTTAAATGGAGCAGCATTTGTAATGCCTGAGGCACCAGAATGTAACTGCTTTTTAAGGTGGAACGGGAAATGTAGCTAGCTAACTACCGAGACATCAGCTACTACTAGCAATGTTTTATGCTTGTTATGAAGAAAAGGACCATAATACACTGAAACAACATTAAACTAAGCTTGCAAACACTTTTAGTGTTTAGTGGTAGGGTTAGTGGTAGGGGCAAGGGGTGAAGTGGGATCGGGCCCAAAGGCTATGTTCACACAGCAGGTGAAAGTGGTCCAATTCTGATTTTCTTTGTTTGTCACATTATCTTTTAAAAGTGATCTGTATGTGACATCAGTCTGAACAGATCAGCTCGTAAACTGACCCGCATGCGCAAAAGAACAGTGCGCGGCTTCGCGCGGCTCATCCAGAGGTAAACAATCACGACCGCCAATGAACACCAGCCGCTTCCAGAGGGTTCAGTTTCACCTTCGCCAGCGTCACAGGAGCCATCATGAAGCTTCACTGACTGACAGCTGGACTCATCACCCAGAATGAGACTTTTTTTTCAGACTTTTAACTGTTTTTTCAGACATTTAACTGTTCTTTTTTTCTTTTTTTTTTAATTTTTACCCGATTTCCTCCCCAATTTAATCGTCTCCAATTCCACCCGCTAGTTAGGACTCCCCCAATCACACGATGCTATCAACGCTAGGAGGGTGAAGGCTAACACAGGCTTCCTCCGAGACCTGTGAAGCCAACCACCGCTTCTTTTTGAGCTGCCGCTCACGCAACGTCACTGGACAGCCGAACGCGCTCGGAGGAAAGCGCCAACCGCCAGATCTGTTACGTCAGCTAACAGACGCCTGCGCTGACTAGCATCGCGTTAAGTGATGGGGGGAGAGGGAGGGGCCATCCTACCCACCCAGAGAGAGTGAGGCCAATTGTGCTCTCTTGGACTCCCGGCTACGGACGGCTGTAGCATCACCAGGGATCGAACTCGCGATCTCCTGATGATAGGGCCAACGCTTAGACGGTTGCGCCACTCGGGAGCTTAACTGTTCTTTGATGCTGCAGCCTCGTTCAACTACAGCTTTGTTCGGTCATTTCTTTCTAAATCTCTTCGAACACGGAGCAGTTTGGATAAGTGTATTCTAAGTTTATGGTACAGAAACATCACCCTAAATGTTTATGAGTCTCAGCAGTGTGAAATTATGACGAATGTTGAGTTGGACTGACAAAAAAGTCGCATGAATTCCGATCTGGCTGTTCAGACTGAGTCGCATTGCTGCAGATCAGATACGTAACAGATTTCAGTACCACATATGAAAGCGTCTCAAATCGGAATTGAAAATGTCAGATTCAGTGTGTTTATCTGTTCACACTGCCATACAGACACACATCTGTGTCACATATGAAGAAAAAGGTCAGATTTGGGCCACTTTCACCTGCTGTGTGAACAGAGCCAAAGTGGTCTTGGCTGATCAACTACATTTAAGGTACAGGGGCTAAACTATGTAAATTAGATTTTTCACCATGCTGTCCCTTTAAAAGGAGACCACTTAGCTGCAGCAGCTGAAAGAAGCTTGCCTTTGGGTCACATAGTTCTCCTCCATGATATGCGCTTCATCTTGGCTTGCCAGGAATAGGTAACCCGAATGGTTAAACTGCAAATCAACAGGATCTTCATTCACCACCGCGAGATGATCCTACGAAGACGAAATGTGTTATACATCAGGTATTCATTAATAAACACAAGGCAAAGCTTAAAAATGTTTTACTCTGCAGATTACGTTTATATTCTTCATGAAATCCGCGGAGGCCAAGGAGAGCAGGATGTTTTCTTTGAGGGAGAACTGCTGCCGAATGCCCCCGCAGGACAGCACAGAGGAGGCTTGAGAATACTGAAACCAAGAAAGAGGAAAGGGAAATTCCACCAAAACATCTAGAATGGCATGGATTTGGAAAGAGTTTACCAAAACTCAAGGCAGATCATTTTTAAAAGTTACTGTGCGTAGTTAGATACTAAAGCGTTAAGCCACAGAAGGCTTAACACCTTAAGGTTGGTGTGAATCACAATAACTTACAGCCTCAAGTGACTTATTGCTTTTATAAAACATGGCCAACATAAAATATGATAAAATACACAATTTTTCAGATAATTATTTAATGTATTATTAATAATAATTGACATAAAACAAGTATTTCACCAAGAAATGTCGTTCCTTTAGAGTACAGTATTGTTGCAAAGCAACCACTGACTGCTGAATAAGGAGAATGTTCGGTCAGCCATCGCTGTATATTGCGGTCATTCCATGAATGTTTTAACTTTTTGTCATATAGCAATGAACATATGATATCACAGCACTGTTTAATGCAAAAACTTTCGCTTTATAAGTACTTTTTGGTCACCAAATTACCACACGAGTCTTATTTAGCACCAATCCAGAGGCGCCCTCTTCTCCTGCTGGGGCTGAATCTCAAATAGCTCCCTGCTCCCTACATAGTGCACTACGTAGGAGTTTAAATACTGGATCCTGAAACCCCAACACTGCAAAATACAACTAATAGTCATTAGGGATTCAGACACATCCACACTCGATAAATCATGCACTGTTTGGCTGTAGAGGCGAGAATTTCTAAACGTTCATAGCTAGAACACTATATAGGGAGTACGGAGCCGTTTGGGATTCAGCCTGGGTTTGACGCGACATCTGACTGAAACACGGACATTTGAAGTGTGTACATCATTCAAGTGACATTTTTAGACTTTTATACTGATATTTTACAGTTAATCAAACCGTAACTACTTTAATTCAAGCCTGTGATATTAATGATGGGGTTATTTAGGCTGTTTTCTATCTTCAGCCTGTTAGCTAGCTGACCAGCCTGGTTCCAGTTAAGAGCATAAGTTGTCAGCCCCTCAGTTTAAACGGAAAACAGGATCTTACTTCATTAATATACTCGGTGCTCCATGCGAGCAGCACGAGAGTCAAAGATTATTGCATTTAACAGCACAAGGGTTTTTCGTGCTGAGGTGCAGGGATACAGAGTTCAGTCGCTGTGAGACGTCATAGGTGTGTGTATATCGTGGATTTTACAATGACTTCAAACGCAGCTCAGCCAATCAGATTTTAGGACTGGAACTATCTGTTTTTGTTGTTCCCCAAACTACATGGTGTAAGTTATTATTCCAATGTACCAAACATGATTCATACTATAAGTGATTCTAAACTCCTGAAGTCGTGTATATGTTCAAAAACATAAGCTGCACCTTTAAAAATACATAAAGAGCGGCTGCCACTTACGGTGGGGTCCTTCTCCACCACCAGCACTCTCACTCCGTCTCGGACCCTCTCTTTCCTCTTGAGCCAGTAGGCGACTGACCAGCCCATCACTCCGCCTCCCACTATGACGATGTCCGCCCGCTCCGGCGGCAGGCCTTTGGTCACCTGGATGGGGCTCCAGTCGCTGCCGGGCATCGCTGCGGTCGCTTTCTCTCTGAACGCTTTGAACTGGTTCTCCAAGTCTGTATTAACAGAAACACACACTGACTGTAGAACTTGAGAGAACCTGTATGCAGTGGTCACTTTAATAGTCAGCGATTTAACTCCTCAAATGGACATACAAATGTCCTCCCTCTAGGCTTTCGGAATGAGCATGGACATCTTCAGCTAACAGAGAGATCTGTCGTTTCACACTAATGTTGGACATGTAAAGAAGCAAAACACTTAAAACTGACACTGCTTTTAAAGGGAAATTCCACCAAGTTTTCAAAATTTCTGCATAAATCAATCACTGAAAGATGAACAAAGCCATTCAGAGTGGTTTGGTGTGAAATGCTCCGTTCTAGAGAAATGATCAGCTCACAGTGATGGTGATAGGAACCAGATGTCTGAAGAGTTTACTGGCTCTAAAAGCTCCCTCAATGAAAGTTATTACATGAAATGATAAGATATATGGTGTCTGTTGCCTGAGCCACAGTTTTACAATATGTTTGAGAAGGTTTTGGCCAAAAACATAAACATACGACCCCTGGTTCCTATTACCATTACTGTACTTCACATACTTTACAGTGGTGGTGATAAAACCGGGGGTCCCCATGTCTACAACACAAATATAGACGTTTTATTTACTGTCCAAATCACCTGTGAACCTACACGAGTCTTCTGGGTTTTTATATGTCAATTTTATACCAAAGTATTGGTCCCCCTTTGCAGCTCTAACAGCTTCCACTCTTCTGTGAAGCTTTCTACAAGATGTCGGAGAGAGTCTGTGGGAATGCTTGTCCATTCATCCAGAAGAGCATTTGTAAGGTCAGACACTGACGTTGGACGAGAGGGATCTGGCTCACAATCTCCGTTCTAGATCATCCCAAAGATGTTTGATGGGGTTGAGGTCAGGACTCTGTGAGGGCCAGTCAAGTTCTTCCACACCAAACTGACCCAGTCAGGCCTTTATGGAGCTGCTTTGTGCACTGGGGCTCGTACAATTGTCCAAAATGTCTTGTTCTGCTGAAGCATTAAGCTTTCCCTTCACTGGAACTAAGGGTTCTAGACCAACCCCTGGAAAACAACCCCATATCATCATCCCTCCTCCACCAAACCTTACAGCTGGCACAGTGCAGTCAGGCAGATAACGTTCTCCTGGCATTCGCCAAACCCAGACTTGTTCATCAGACTGAGAGACAGAGAAGCATTCCCACTGCTCCAAAGTCCAGTGGTGGTGTGGTTTATACCAGTAAAAGCTCCTGGCGCACAGTTTTTGTGCCAGAGGTGGTTTAAACTCTGCAGTTATTGATCAGCAAAGCGTTGGGGACTTTTAGGCACTATGGGCCTCAGGACTCAGTGACCCGCTCTGTAACTGTACGTGGTCTGACACTTCCTGGCTGAGTCACTGTGGTTCCTAAACGCTTCCACCTTTCAATAATACCACTCACAGCTGATCGTGGAACATCTAGGAGGGAGGAAATTTTGCAAACTGACTTGTTACAACGGTGGCATCTTATTACAGCACCACACTCGAATTCAGTGAGCTCTTTAGAACGACCCATACTTTCACTAATGTGTGTAAAGGCAGACTGCATGGCTAGGTGCTTCATTTTATACACCTGTGGCAATTTTATCATTATTATTATTTAATTTGCAGGAAATTGCCACATGTAAGTGTGCTCCCTGTACAGTAAACCACAGGAATTGTCTGAAGTGTCTGAAATGACTCAGACTCTTACAGGACTCTTGTGGAAATCCTGCAGAGTTACTACAGATGTTCTTCTTTTAATAAGGGCTGATACAGATATTTATACACACTAGTCCAACATATCCAAAGGTCACCAATAGTGATAATAATTAATCAGAGCGGATTGTAGACATAACCTTTTTCTGTAAATGTGTAAACAATACTGTTTTGCTGTCTTTCTACTAGGACTGAGCAATATGACAACATATATGGTTATCGTGATAAATTACATCACAGTACAATACAGTATGCTTTTCCGAACATATCGTGTACATCATCAGTGCTTATAGAATTGAGACCAACTGCATGTTTCATTATAAAGAGAGCAAAATTAGTCCAGTTTAACTGAACACAGTGAGCCAAATATTGGATACAAATAGTTGTATTTCATACTATTACACATACTACAGCTCTTTTTAATCTAACTGATCAAAAAATAAATATCCTGACATCATGTATCGTGAACATTTGTAGAAGTATCGCGATGTTATATTTCTGTCGTATCGCCCACCTCCACTTTCTACACATAAATCACTGTAAACCTGTTGATTTGGGATTTGGGAAAACTAGAAATGTGCCAGAGCTCATTCAGCACGTTTCAGCGTCGACTCCAGTCCTCAAGAGCTGCTTTACAGCTTCTTATTCGAATTTTCCCGGTCCACCTTAAATGGTGCGGCAGTTACATGTAACTGATGTAAGACTATTACATGTAACTGCTGTATGTGTGGTCCCGGTCCACCTTAAATGGTGCGGCAGTTACATGTAACTGATGTAAGACTATTACATGTAACTGCTGTATGTATGGTCGTCTTATTCGAATTTTCCTGGTCCACCTTAAATGGTGCAGCAGTTACATGTAACTGATGTAAGACTATTACATGTAACTACTGTATGTGTGGTCCCGGTCCACCTTAAATGGTGCAGTAGTTACATGTAACTGATGTAAGACTATTACATGTAACTGCTGTATGATGGTCGTCTTATTCGATTTTCCTGGTCCACCTTAAATGGTGCGGCAGTACATGTAACTGATGTAGACTATTACATGTAACTACTGTATGAATGGTCGCTTATCGAATTGTCCCGGTTCACCTTAAATGGTGCAGTAGTTACATGTAACTGATGTAAGACTATTACATGTAACTGCTGTATGAATGGTCGTCTTATTCGAATTTTCCCGGTCCACCTTAAATGGTGCGGCAGTTACATGTAATAGTCTTACATCAGTTACATGTAACTGCTGCACCATTTAAGGTGGACCGGGAAAATTCGAAGAAGCAGCTGACTCCTCTGCTTTACTGAGACCGAGTCCAGCTAACGTTAGCCAGGCTAACTCACCTTGGAAGAAGTCTTTCCGTGCGGCGGCGCTGGTGCTGAAGCTGCAGCGGTGCAGGACTGCATGTCTGCCCGGCAGAGCTCTGTGCGCAGCCCCGCTGAGGCCGCGGAGCGCTCGGTACCACTTCATCATCCCTCTATCCAGGTATCAGAGTCCTGAACGAAGCCGCTCTGCTAACAGTCACACTCACCGTGCGCACCGCGCAGCCGCACACGAGGCCCGCGGAGCCCCGCCCCTAGACCAGCCCCTCCCCGTCAGCCAATCAGAGACAAGGGAAGAGTTGTTAAAGGGAAATTCCACCAATTTCGGCATAATTCAGTCAGTGTTTTGTTGTGGTGCATTATAGATAACCTTACTGATTTCTTTACAGTGGTGGTGATGGGAACCAGCGGTCTCAACACAAATACAGCCATTTTATTTACTATCCAAACCCACCAGTGAACCTATATAAGTTCTTATATGAAATGTTGATGATGGGAAAATAGTGGTACAGTTTTCTTTGGGGACTGTCATCTGCCATGAATGTGTTTAAAAAATACATTTTAGGCCAAATCCCTCTTCAAAACTATCTTAAAACAACGTTTCAGACACCAGGCTGAGTATTCATAATCATTCCATGTAGTAAATTTCTGTGAGGGAGCTTTTAAAGGTGGACGTCTGGTTCCTATCACCACCACTGTGAACAATTCTGACTCTGTAAGTTTCTCTAGAACAGAGCGTTTCACACCAAACCACTCTGAATGACTCTGTTTACATCTTAACCATTTAATTCTGCAGAAATTTGGGGAAATGGGTGGAATTCCCCTGTAAGGTTTTAATGGGGGAGTTTGCATTGTGTTTATTCTGATGTTATATGGAGATTTTACAAGCAAATAACACGCTTATTGCTAAGACCTCTGTTCTGATTGGCTGAAACACTTCTTATAATTAGATGTGTAACTTCAACATGAAGGGGCGTGGCTTAACTGCTGTAGGCATACACCTGGGTGACAAATTAAAGGAAAACTTATTGAGTGGAGAAACTTAACATCCTTCCACAGGCAGACTGCATGATACAGTTGAGTCATTAACATCCTCTTGTGTTTTGTGGCATGTATAAAAACACTGACCTTGACTTTGGATCAAAAAAGTAGGTGGAAAATATCTGAAAACATTATCGGGCCACAAATGGCAGCAGCTTCAATCACAAAATCTGCTCAGCTGGCTTGTGTTTCAATCAGCATTTAGATCTGTGGGAAATCAGTCAGCACGAGTCATCCTTACCCACATTCTCCGCAAGTGGGAGAGTGCATGTGCAGCGTACACCAGGAGAACAGTACAGGCCTGAATGCCTGACCCCTAGTGAGGGGGTCCGGTGGCTCCATTATGCTGTGGGGGGCATTATGCTGGCATGATTTGAATCCCCTTGTCCCGTTAGAGGGAAGAATCTCTGCAAATCTATAGTTTTTCTGATGTCTTTAACCAAAAATGAAACATTTCTATCCTTGATGCTGGTGGTCTCTTCCAGGATGGCAGTGCCCCCATCAACAGCACAGAGGGGGTGTCTCTGAATGGTTTGCTGGGTATGAAAATAATGTAGATCATATGCTACAGCCTTCAGTCACCAGATGTCAAATAGTGCTCTCCACCACCATCAGAGCACCAAACGAGGGAACATCTTTCAGAAAATCTTTTCACTCCTGTACAGTTTTCTTGTAGAATCTATGCAAAGGCACTTTGGAGCTGTTCTGGCAGTTTGCAGCGCCTGAACACCTGAGACACAGAATGTGCAAGATTTGGTGACGTCACAAAAACAAATTCAAGATTCGTCAGTGTAGCTTCCATATAGGAACTGTATTGACAGTGTGGTTAACATGTTTTGAAACTTTAACAATGTTCACACACTATATTTAACCCTTATTTTAAAAAAATCAAGGAAAATTCTGTTTTACATGACATGGATAGGGTGTTAAACAGTATCCACGTTTACACGCATCCCGATAATCCATTAATAATCCGACTAACAGCTTAATCAGAATAGAATATGTCCATGTAAACACCTCAGTTGGAATAGTCTAGTGCAATTGAGGCCATTCGGAATACAATTCCTATCCCATTGAACGAGGTGGGTAATCGGAAAGTTCAAGTCTGTTCTGATCATGTTCGTCATGTCATAGTGAAAGTTTATACCGTTCAGCAAGGCGGAGCAGAAACTGGTCTGCAGAGGAGACGAAGTTTATGCTCTGATCTTTAAAAGACGGCGGTGGGACGGACGTCCAGCTTATGTGTCTCAGAACACGACGTCTTCCTCACAGCCTTCTTTAATAAGGACATGTGAAGGACCTGACCTCATTTTAAAGCAATTAAAAACACAAGCACTGCTCACTGCTGCTCATCTCACTCCGACTGGACGCATGTGATGCATGTTGTCATGGTAACGTCTAACTAAGCGGTTCTCAATGCATGCGCTTCATTTTGAATCTGATTACTTGTAGTGAGCATGTAAACAGAGATTTTCCATCAGATTGGTGAGTAGAGTGAGCGTAAACACCTCAGTCTTAATCTGTAATCTGAATGTATTCAATCAGATTGGCAAAGCATGTAAACACAGCCAGTGTCAGATGGTAATCTGAGACTCGCCTCACAGGACCTGAATAATAAAGCCACTCTTTTACCAATAAAAGTTACTTTACTTAATAAACCTGTTTATTGTTTTTTCCTCATCGTATTGAGCTTCTCCTATTATCTAATGTTCCAGAATATAGAAATCCACCATCCATACAGGTCTACAGGGAAAGTGCATTTGACAGAAAAATAAAAGAAACATAACAGACACAAATTTGTCCCACTCACTCCATTTATTACCCCGTTTGTAGACAAATTAGTTGGCCATTGATCGTGGAAATTACGTACTAACAGTTTCTTGGACGTTTTGACATCTCACTCCGTTCCAGAAGAGATGTCACATTTGTAAATCAAATTTTTTTTAAAAAAGGAAAAAAAATATGACAACAAAAATCTCTTCTTGCAATTACAACAGAAGTATAAAAAGTATCCACACCGGTCTTCAGATCACAGGGGAAGGCTTTCAGTGCTGTATGTATGGTCAGAAGGTGTGTGAATTTTGTGCGTCTTGGCTTTATGTTCGCGAAAGGCCTCGGTTGTCAAGGTCTTTAACCTGTTGGACGAAAACAGAAGTTTTGTTACGAGACTTTGACTGTGCTCCGTTGTGTCACACTGAAATGAGAAGAACTGAGCTGAAGTTTACCTTGTATATCCTGACCAGCCAGTGCTCTGTAGTGTAAGCCTCCTCCAGCACATCCAGCTCGAAATCTTTGTTGCCGATCTCAGCGTTACGTACCCTGTCGTAACCAGGAGGGCGTTCTGCGGGAAAAAAAAAGGTGTTAACACTGTGGGGCAGTTTTGTTACATTTACCCCAAACTCAACTAACCAAAGAACCTGGCCCTGCATGGTTTGTAGATATCCAAGCTTAAAGGGCTGATAGTTGCAAGGTTTCATTCCAACAAACCAACAGCACACATGATCAACCAGTGCTGGGCGATATGACCTCAAATCAATATCACGATTAATTGAATGTTTTACCTCGATTACGTTTAATTAACAAATTTTTTTTGGTTGTTTGTTTTTTTGCCCTCGTAGTTCACTAAAAAGGTTTGTACTGTAAATATGTTCTGCATATGCTGATGTAATTCACGCTGCTGAGACCTGAAACATTTGGGGTGATATTTCTGTACAAAAATTAGAAGAGACTCTTCCAAAACATCTCTGTGCTTAGAGATTTTGAAAGAAATGGCCGAACGCGGCCGTAGGAGAACGAGGCTGCAGCGTCAGAGAACAGTTATAAGACTGAAAGCAAAGTTTAAAGAATCCGAGGACGCGAACCAAAGAAGTGACTTTACGGCTCGAACACATTCTGGGTGATGAGTCCACCTGTCAGTCAGTGAAGCTTCATGATGGCTCCTGTGATGCTGGTGAAAATGAATCTGATCCTCCGGGAGCGACTGGCGTTCGTTGGCGGTCGTGATTGTTTACCTCTGGATGAGCCGTGAAGCAGCGTGACGCTCTGTTCTTTTGCACATGTGGCTCAGTTTAGGAGCTGATCTGTTCAGACTGATGTCACATACAGATCACATTTGAAAGATAATGTGATCAGCCCAAAAAAATTCAATTTGGTGAGAAAATCAGATTTGGGCCACTTTTACCTGCTGTGTGAATGTAGCCTTAGCTTCCGTGTCGCAGCCTGGCCGTGGCGGAGTCACGTGATACACGCGCGGTAGTAAGTTTTTAAGGCGAAAGTACATGAACGGATTAACAGAAATTTTTTTAAAAAAATCGAAATAACCGACATGGGCAAGATTACGACGGTTAGAGGTTCTGAATGTCGGTTTCGAAATACTTTTCGATTAATCGCCCAGCCCTGACGACTGAGATCGATTAAAGAAGCAGGGGCGCCAGTCAGCAGTGACGCTACAGATACTCACTGGCCTCTGTGTAGACCTGGCCGAAGCGGTAGTAGCACATCTTGTACATAAGGCAGTTGAGCAGGACAGGAGAACCTTCCCTGTCCACACGGAACTCCCCGGTGGGAGTGTAATAGTCGTGCTCCTTGATGTGCTTCCCTGTATCAGTGCTGCCTCCGATACGCACCATCCACAGGAACTTGTTTATGTCTGCACAAACAAAGCATTAATCAACAACTGTTTTTGTCACATAGCAGTTACTAAATAATCAGCACTAATAATAACAACAACTAAACAACAACCCAAAGATTGCTTGCTTTTGTTGATTTAACCTGAAATGTAGATTTTATTTACCATCAGATGAATATCCAGTCAGTCCACCGAAGATCACCAAGACATAGCTAACATCCAGCTCCCGCATAATCTCATAGGCTCTTTCCTCAGTGGAGGCCATAGCCTACAAGCAAACAGATGCTATTGAAGTACAATGACACAGTTACATTAAAGCGTGTAAAACAACATCAGTGCATCGAGACACAGCAATCAGAGTGTGGTGATCAGATGTAGGAAGGTTATAATTGATTATAATCAGGTATAATAACATTGTTATAAAAATATTTAATAAAGCATTCACGGTTTTTGGCCAAAACAATCAGATAACAATGCACTAAATCATAACCTAATTTACACAGACAGAAAATGAAATGAAATAAA